GTTAGCATGAATCGGTCATGAGTACAAAGTGAATTCACTTGATACTGATCATAGAGTTCTGTCCAACAGGATATGAATGCCGCATTGAACAGTTCTTTCGCCAAAGGGGGGTGAATATCGACAAGACTCATGCAAGCCCGAAGCGCGTGTGACGGAGATTCCTTCATCAACTCCACAGAAAGGCGGTGCATCCACTCTGTCCAATCCTCCCTTGTACTCACGGAGGACACGTCCCACGCTTGTTTCAGATGTTGTTGGTTTACAGTCAATTTAGCCGCTTCCGCAGGTACGGAGATTTCTGCAGCCTTAGATTCGCTGAAGGAACATCAGGAACTGATGTAACGAAGTTTCCAAAAAGAGACGTACAGCAAGTCATGAGTGCCCGGCTCTTGCGGTAGACGTTCCCCATTCAGGAGCTTCGATATCAAGTTCTCATACCGGGGATGAGGTATACGATTCCGGAGCAGGCACTATCTTGTTGTCAATAATCCAAAAAGGAGGAATAGACTCGGTGATACGCACCTTGTTGATAGTGGGCACAAAGATAGCAAAGTCAGATCCAAGTTGTACAACCAGTGCGCACAGGGTGTCCATCACCGCTTGCCGAAGCTCGTTGTTGTTTCCCTCTAGCACACGAATCAAGGGGTGCACAATGCGAGAAGCATGGTCGGAGAAATTGACGCGGAGGGATAAATGGGCTATAGTCTGTATTGCTTTCTTGCGGAGCTGGGTGGTAGCATCAGGTCGCTCAGCAGATTTGACAATAACGGGGATGACGAGGTGAAGGTACTCTTCAATATTTGCCCCGAATGTGAGGAAAGAATCAAAAATTTTGATCTGAGTAGCCATCTTCTTCTCGAGGTCTCCTTCGAAGACTTTGAGAAGATGAGGCAGGATAGTTGGCAGAAAAGGTTTGAACTCAGCGTCCAAAGCCTTCCCGAGCGCCTCAATCAACGATACTATGGGAAGCTGAAGGGAGGCATTCTCCCAAAGCTCTGTCACGAGGCTAAAGACCTCTGGCATATAATTGCGGATGTGTTGCTTAATGATCCCAACCAGAATGGCCAATTGCTGCAGGTGAAATTCTTGCAAACGGGCTGTGGAGGTGCGGGCTACAGCAGTAAAGGCAGGAATAATCTTTCGAAACATTTGAGTCAGTACAACATTTGATCATGCAACAACAAGAGAACCGATGCACCTGCGGTAGGAAGGCCACACATTTCAACCCTTGCGTCCTGAAAATGTTCATAATCGCTTCGATGACAGTGTGGTGATGATTGCTAAGTGACTGATCCTTCAAAACAGCCAGAAGAGACGTGATCACAACGGTCTGGTAGTAGTCGTCGCTACCTGTCAATGATCCTGTCTGAGAAATGGCGACAGCATTGACAGCAGGAAGTGGCGTTTCATTCGTGGCTTCTTCATCCGGCCTCGTCTAAGGATACGTCAGTAAATTGAAGTGAAGGCGCACACCAGACAGACCTTTCGCCTGTATGGATCCAGAGCTCCAAGGATACCAAGAACTTTGACTACTTCTCTTACAACCTCACGGCGTGCATGCGGAGCGGATTCGCTTCTCAGAATGCGTCCCAAGATCGGAAGCAACTGAGGATAGTCTACCAGGGGTGTTATGACATACCCGGTACTGGAGCACAACTGGCCAAGAGTGTGGAGAGCAGCGTCACGCTTGACATGAGCCGGGTCGGAGAGTCTGGAGATGATGACCTGCATGAGCTCCGGGATATGAGGAGCCACATCTTCCCCGCCAACAGCTGCCAGTTCCCCGAGACACATAAGAACATTGGCAGCTACAGCCGGGTTGCTGTCATTCGCCTTTTGCAGTAGGACGCGGAGCATAGGGAGTGCGTATGGCTTTATGAGACGTTGAGTCGCGCCCACTAGGAGAGTGAGAAGACGGGTGCAGTCTTCGCGATTTCGCCTGTAAAGATATTCATGGTTGTTCTAGATCATGGGGATAAAAGCACGCACATCACAGTTGAGTATTCTAACTCTGTCAATAGTTGTATCAGGGCCTTGCGTAAGGAGGGCATGACGTAGGCAGGATTATGCTTGGCAAGACGTCCAATCAAAGTGACAGTAGTAACACGATTCTCGAAGACCTCATCATTAAGGGCGATAAAGATTGACCTGACATTCTCCGCTTGCGCCAAGTGCTTATCGAACCTCTCATGAAGGGAGGACAGGACAGTCTGCCGAATGGTAGGGTCTTCAAGTAATAATAATTATGTTAGATGGCCTGTAGGGGAACAAATGAACTTACCCGGGTCTGCAATGCCTACTGTGAGGAGTTTGTCGAGAACGTCACTAATTATTTCAATCGCGTGACTACTCGCTTGGTAGCAAATTGGGTCCCTGACGAACAGCCTGCAACAAGTGAGAGCACCAGCACGTCGAACGTCTGCATTGTCGTCTTCCAGATAAGGAAGAGCAGCATTGCGGACAAATTCGTTCAGGATATGACCTGCTCATGTTGAGTGTACTATATTAAATAGCAGCAAGTAGCTTACCGCTAAAGTCAAAGGTGCCAAGCGTGGACAACGCAAGTGTGATGAGCTCAGGACTCTTACCGCTTCTAGTGGTCTTCGCAAGTCATACTTAGTATGATCGACAGAAGTGTGAAAGAACTCACCTGGGATGAGCTCAAGTCTCTTGTAAATGCAGAGACGTCACTTCTAACAAGGGAAGGTGGAGCTCCGATGGCTTTATAAGGCTGTCCACATAGGATCATGGAAAGCAGATCCAGTAGACGGTCTGACGATGCGTTTGTTTTGATAAGAATGACACGTGTGGTGTCAACTGACGCACCTTGAATAGTCTTTAGCAAGGGTGGGATGTTACGTGCAATGGCCATCAGTGCCTGTCTAAGAGGCTCACTCAGGCCACACGCAAAGAATAGATCAAGTTGATCGTGAAGAAGCTTCGTGAGGTTTGGACCGACAGCCGAAGCAAGCATTCCGACGCATTGGAAGATAGGTTCTTCAGAAGGAGCATTCTTCTTTCTGTAGAAAGAATTCTGATGACCGCATACAACAGTCTATATAAGACGTACCCCCTGGCTTGTAGACCAAACTTAATTTGAGCCATGATAGAGTCGAGGAAAGGTTTCATATCACTTCCTACAGCAGTGGCAGTGTGACCGATAGCGATGAATGCTGACAAAAATAAATCAATATGTAGCATTTTGACTGATAAGGGAATGCGAACCAAAGGACCTCTCGTTTGGCTTTTCCAGCTGAGTTAGTAAATGTCCCATGGATTTGTGCAGGTGATGTTCCGAGAAAACCTGCGTTTCGTAGGCGGCGAGAGTTGGTATTAGGGTGATGACCATCTTGCGAACGAGACCATCTCGATGTGATTTGAAGCGAAGAATTTGTTCCGCAGTATCCAAGAACGATTCCCTCATAAACTGAATGCAAATATCATTCAAATGCGATGACGGCGCTGAAATCACTTGCCATATCGCCATGCAACAACAGCTCTCGGTATGTGAGAAGAGAGCCATGAATGACCTCAGGTTGAGACATTTTGAGTCCCAGTTGCGCGTCCTGAAGAATCTTCATGAGGTAAGTTGTACGTGTTTGCCGTTCACGCGTTGTAACAATCTCGAGGCATGCGGCAAGAAGCTCTGCAGCTCCCTCCCTGACAATGTTTCGAGAATCCCGAAGAGGTATGAGTATCTTGTCAAATACGAGGCTGATGTGAGAATGAAAATATATTGCACTGTTGCGTGCAAGCTCCTTCAAGATGAGCACTCCGGCATACCGGGGGGACTCCTGCTTGTCACCCTGCAACAGTTCTACTGCGGCTGGAACTTCTAAATCCATAAAGCGTTCTCCGAAGTCGGCCCCGCCAATTGCAGCAATTTGGCCGAGTGTCTTAGATGCGGCCAGCATGATGTTGACATCGTGATTTGGCAGTAGCTGTTTGACGTAGTTGTAAAACCGAAAGAGGTACTTCTTTGAACCAATAGTGTCCTCTCCTTCACTTTCAAGGAGGTGATCTAAGTAACATGAGTTATACGTCCATGGCACTATGACATTTGGACGCACCTATGGCCAGAAGTCCACCTAATCTATCTACATTATTCTGGCTGTGCATTAGGTCGAACAGGCGTTTGTTGATGTCATCATCCCAAAGTTTTGCTACCGCATCAGATGGCATTTCTGCGACAGTCATTGCAACCTGCTGGACCATGAGAGGTGGCTCGCATGCATGAACGATGGACGCACATAACGACGCAACTCTATTGCAGCTTGCAATCGAGCATCATGAGCAGCGCTCCGCAGGCCTTGAAAGATCTGCCCGAGGTGATCCGTGTGGGCATACTGAGTTACGGACGTCATATTTATCGTCGCCAGCGTCCTATATATTCCACTGTTGCACCTGCAGGCCGACTACAAGCAACACGCTGTGGACACTGGAAGAGCTGGAAGAGGAAAGACTAGTCACTTACGGCAGCCTAGAACCTGATCCGTCCTGTTTACGTCTATTGAATTCTAAAGACTATCACTGCGTTGCAAGGTTCATGATGATTCAATATTCAATGTTGAGTCAATGCTGACCATATTATATATTGGAAGAACAAGTTGTTTCATTCGTCTATGATGCCTACTTCATGAAACGCTTGCAAGGAGCTCTACTTTCAAGTTCTGCCATTCGATGGCCTGGAAAAGCAATAAGTGCTAATAGTCTAGCAAAGCCGAGTCAATCATCATGGCCTGGTGGTCTAGTAGTATGATTCCTTGTTAGGGCGGTAGTCAATATCGAGGAGGTCCCGGGTTCAATTCCCGGCCAGGCCCTTTTTCTTGACATGATCCCCGAACTATCCGATTCCCGCCTGGACTCCACGACTGTCAGTTTTTTTTGCTCTCTGAGATCTGAACCTTCATGTAGATCCTTAGACTCAGTATACTGTACTGCAGAATAGGCCAAGATTTTTTTAAAAAATTTCTTCCAGTAACACGCGACGCAGTACCTAAGCTTGAGTCACTTGACCGGTCGACCCATGACATCAGCATCCGTACTACGCTGCGCATTCCAGGGGCGCAGCTCATGCGCAGTTCTGCCGACGTTCAGGATCATTGTGCTCGGGGTCCACAGTGACCCACTTTGGTACTTGATGGGCTACTGACTATTTCTATTACTAGCAACTTACAAGTACTGTCTTGAAAATGATACTGCAGAGCAAGGAAGAACCGCAGCTACATACCGCTATGCTCATTCAAGATGATAAGGAACCCTCACCATCCCATGTTCCAGATTGTGATCCTCCGCCGTACAGTAATTTCACGTCAGGTTCTGCTGGAGTGTCTGCTGTCACGATAGACTCGGAGCTCGCCAATGCGCCTACAGTGAAGACCATTCGGCTAGAAAAGCACCATGAGTTGATATCCGGTGAGCCTTATGTATTCTGCACATGCGTTTGTCTTAAGTTTGGCCAATGCAGGAAAGTACATCATTGACCCTGACGAGTCAGAAGACCAGACATCCGCCCTGCTAGGCTTTGCAGTCAGGCACACTGACCTAGTAGGGTTAAGGAAAGCAGCCAACTTTCTCTCTGCAGCGCCGCATGCCGTTTTTCGCAATCAGTTCGGGTCCATTTTTCTGACTCTAGCGACCAAAGGGTCGTCAGAACAATGTAGTCGGACAATAATTGACGTTTCGACCCGCTATGGGGATATTGCCGTTAACTTGGTGAGTACGAATTCTAAACTTCATCTCCATAACGTTGGGCCTTATGTATGTTTCTGAAAACAGAGTTCCGTACATCCTGGTAAACGCATCACGCTGAAAGTAACTTCCCGAAGAGGTGAGTTGAAACCGACGGCGCTCAGGTTGACAGTGCTAGTAGATTGCGCGCATGGAAGGTGACAGGTCCGATGACCTGAGGGCCGTGTTCTTCGGATTCCACATGGGAAACCATGGAAAATCTCGTTTCTACTACGCCTAAATCTGTCTTTTCCATGTCACACATCAAAAAGTGACATCGATACTCAGCTCCTCTTCTGTGTCATACTTATTTGTAATTTGTACTGACACATTTCTGCATCTACAGGCAAGATGGTAGTACTGCTTCCCCCAACCTTTTGTGGGGACGTGCAGATACACAGTAGCAAATTGGGTGGTTATGACATTCTTCCAGGACTGTCCAGCAGCATCCGCAGCATGAACGGGAAGAGGACAAAAACGTTGTTACTTATCGGCGACAATGCTCCGACAGCTGAAGGGAGTAAATCCACGGATCACTGTCGTCTCTCCTCACGCCACGGAAGGATTGTCCTAGGCTTGAGTGGGCAAGACAGCATGCCAACACCACAACAAGAGGGTAACATATGGAGAAAGATAGGTTCCTTTTTCCGCGGTGGTGAAAGTACGGGAAGTTCTTTGCAGGATCTCGCACGACTTCATTGACCTTACGACCAGGTTCTTGAGATTGTGTAGATACACACGAAGTAGCGCCTGATTCAATCTTCTATCACAGATGAACGTGAGCAATCGTACGCGTAGACTTACCTAACTCCGATGGTACCGGAGTATGGATCACACTCTATTCCGCGTTCGATATGCACCAGGTGTCAAGCGCCGAATAGTTGATAAACTCAGACATGTTACCAGGGACCCCGTTTAGTGATCCCCCACTCTTCGCCACCACTTTATCGCTGTCTCTCTGATGTCTTTAGACGCCTCTGATGCCAATCACCATAGCGGGTGCCTTTCTCTAAGACGCTTGTTCAAGTTGAAACTTCAACGCGTACCTAATAAGAGTTTCACAAAACAAGCGAACTCATCCCATATATGTGATCAGACGCGAAAGGCGTCTGATTCAGAAAGGGACGCTGATATCGTACGTTTTATCTTTGCGTCATTTTGCGCGCGACTTATCCATTGCCCCCATAGACTGATCTGACCTCTCGCGTGTTTTACGATACGTGCTGTGACTTTGGAAGCAGCAAATTCAGTACTGTAGCATACCAGTGGGAGGCTCCTCCCGTTTATTCAGACCCGCCTTCTCCTAATGATTCTATATGTGGAGAAATAAGGCACACGATCGAAACTATGATCGACACACTCGATTCATCCCTACGATTACTCAGTCTCCAAATTCACAGTAAGCTCCTCAGCTCTGGCCTAGTTTATATTTCTGACTGTGGGATACACAGGCCACCCAGAATTGATGTTTGAAGAAATGTCTGCAGCACGTGTATCCCTCGTGCATCTTACTGATGAAATCTTTGTAGATTTGCTCACAAACTTCTATCTGATTACATGGAAAGCCACGGGTTTTCTGTGACGAGGCATTATCTCGGCCTCAAGACTGCTTGGAAGGCTGAATATACCCACGGACAGGGAGGCAGAACCATTGGGATTAACTCGGAGATGGATGCGTTACCTGAGATTGGGCATGCATGTGGCCACAACCTCATTGCAATCAGTGGAGTAGGTGTGGCATTAGCCATCAAATCCGTACTGGAAACCTACGACGTTCCTGGCACTGTCGTTCTTCTAGGAACCCCAGGTAACGAGTTTGAATTCGGCCCGACACGAGGCATTAATCTCTCCTTTAGCTGAAGAAGGCGGTGGAGGAAAGATCATCCTGCTTGAGCGGGGGGCCTACAAAGGGATGGATGCTTGTTTAATGTCCGTGTACCCCGCTGAATGCATTCGGAACATTGCTGATACATGCGTGGCTAATACAGGTGTCATCCTTCCCCTGGTCCCGAGCTGTCTTCGTTTGTGGTATCTTCGTTGGCGATGCAATCTATAGATGCCGAATTCTTCGGGAAATCGTGGGTCCTGTGGTTCGTATATGGTTTCATGAGTTAATCCGAAATAGTGCTCATGCTGGAGATGCTCCATGGGAAGGTGCCAACGCACTTGATGCTGCGTTCTTAGCATACTCCAGCGTCTCCGTGTTACGACAGCAGATCAAACCTGACCACAGAGTAAACGGCGTCATAAATGGCAGCGAGAGAGCTGCGAATGGTATAGTCTAGCAACTTCTATCATCGATACATGAATAACTCAGCGAGCCTTTCACAGTGATCCCTGACTATGCCAAAATGAGGTGGTATGTCCGAGCGCCGACGCGAGACCAGTTAACGCGACTGACAGAGAGAGTGTCCGCCTGTTTTGAGTCAGCCTCTATATGACATTTGTACGGTCGACGGCATCTTACAATGTCCACAGGGGTGCCGCGTTGGCAACTTCCTGCCGTCTCAAAATCACAAAGAACACGCCCTATTACGATTTACGGCAGAACAGCATCCTTGGTAAGTCATCTTCTCAGATGTTTTTGATGAATCAATATAATTAATACTAGTATGTAGCAGCTGCCTTCTCTCATGCGATATCTCAAGAATGTGGGAGTGTCGGGCAATACCCTTCAGGGGCATCCACAGATTTTGTATGTGTAGTTATTAAGTCTTCCCGATACATACCCATTGACCAATTCCGATCTAGGGTAATGTTTCATACGGCAAGTGCATCCCTCTAAAGTCGCATGGCAAATTCGTGCTCATTGTATTTTAGTCTTGCCTTCGCTACATCCAGCTTTTGGTATGTTGTGCGGCGTGGCTATCTCTACACTTATCTGACCGTCCTCGGTGCGTACACTAAATTAGCCATCCCTACGCAGCCCAATGGGGGAAATCATTCGCCAGCATTCGCTGATTCTGCGCGAACCGCGGAAGCCCACAAAGCATGTATGATTACCACCAAGGCTTTGGCGTGTACCGGTTTCCGTGTGCTGGCAGACAAAGTTTTTTTCATGCAGGTGTGTGTATTGCCTATTGGTTGATCTCAATCGTCGTGCCGTCGTGTTCATTGTTAATATGACAGGTACGAGAGGCCTTCGAGGCCAGCATGTGATGCAATCCATAACGGAGAGCTTATAGGAGTGTGTATATTTTGTATGTTTAGCATGATCATGAGATTCAGAGATAGGTAACTACCGCACCAGGTGTGCACTTTATATATGTAGAGCATCTCAGAGATTCATCGTAGGCCCCATTCGATAGCTGTTTGAAAGAATAGTCATAAATATCAAAAGCAGTCCTAAGATCCGATTGCATATGTAACCGTGACCCGTGCGCGATTGCTCACTTCACCCCGACGGCTATCTCAGCACTACTAGTAAGATGATGTACGTGACCTTGAGTCTCCCTCAACCTGTTCTTTCATTGGATGCTCGCCTCCATTCGACGACATCTCAGGCGTTATGTTGCCTTCTCTTCGGGCTTTTCCACGTAAGTGGTGATGCTTTGATTTACCCTCTGCTGCTTCTGCAACCATTCTAAAATGTAAAATAGAAAGTCGACGTGAGCATCAGTCACCGCGGATCAACTTAGGAGCCGAACGCACCGCTCAAGTTCGCGTCGGACCTCGTCACTCTCTTCGGGAACCGTGCTTTTGAATATATGACCCATAATCATCAATCCCTGACAAGGAACAAGGTAAGATTAACATCATGTGAACGTTTAGATGCTGATACGATGTCCGAGTAGCGACAAAATGACACACCTTCGCGCGATGGAACAAAACCTGATCGGACGCCTCCTTATCTTTGAGCACGTTATCCACAACCTGAATAGGAATGGTTCAATTGCTGCATACCCATAAGCAACTCTTGAGCGCACCTCCCGAAGAACCTGAACGACTTCGAAACGCGTGCCTCGCCAAGACGCTAGCATGATCTAGCGCGTGTCAATTTATCTCGTGAAAGGATTTGACTAAGTTGCGAGGCACACGGACCTTTCCTGTAACATCCTCTTCTAGCGCACGCAGCACGTCCTCATCGAGCTCCCCCTTCTTCTGCAAGCGGTCCATTTCGGACATGAGAGACTGCACACTAAATCTGTTTTACATATATCATGAATGTGTAGAAAAGGAAATATAGATGAAAAACGAACGCGCTGCCGATGACACCCCATGCGTCTTTTGCCACTGAACCCTTCTCCTTCATTCGTGACCAGAAACCTGCACTGCGTCACATAAGCAAGTCGATAAGGGAACCAACAAGAGTGCTACTCACATCCCTAGGAATTTCTTCGACTTCATAAACGAAGTAGCCTTCATCATGTATACTGTCCCAATTGCATGTAGCAGCTGTCAATCCCCCACTTAGCTGATTCAAAACACTGATGCACACCAGCTACACATACCTCAACCCCAAAGCTCTCCAACTTTAAATCGTCTGCTTCAAGCTTCATCCGTGATTCGAACGCCTTTGTCTCAGGGTCCTCCTTGTCGCCGGGTGCTTTTGCATCCACGAATGGTCGTAATCGCTCGAGTAGCTTCGCAGTGAGCGTCTTTACTCGTTCATCCATCGACCGTTTGCGTTCATCATCAAGCTCCTGAAGCTTCTTTCTCTGCTCTGGCGTGAGTTTATTGCGCTTCTTATCCTTTTCTTTGCCTTCTTTGCCGCCAGTAGAAGGGGTTGGGGACCCTAAAACAGATTGGCGTTTCGAAGCAATATCAGCGGGAGCGGGTGTTGATGGGCCATGTGTCGATGGACCAGGGGCGGAGACGTGTGGTTCGTGCGAGACTGCTGCTTGTGGCGGGACGATACCCTCTTTCTCGAGCTCGGCACGTTCCTCGTCAGTCATTACTGTCTGTGCCACGGATGTCATCTCCTTCATCAAAGATATCTCGCCGATCTGCGTGTGCCACCAGGGTTAGTCAATAATGCAGTTTATCGTGACGGATGAAGTCGAGACATTAAGAATAAGTCTCAAGTGTAAAACAGGAAGAGACGCACATAATCTCTGAATCGCTCTCCACCAAACACGTTTGCGAAGAAACCTGCTGCGTCGTCTAGCTCTGTACTCTCCTTGTCCACCTAAACCACACAAATCAAAATCTAAATGTCGACCTTCGTATACTTTGAAAGGTTGACGTACCATAGTCTTCCCATTCTTGTCATAGACCGCTCTCAAATTCTAATCGCATTTCAGTTTAAATCAAAATTATCAGAGTGGGAGAAAGAGACGTACAGCATCTGATAGCACCTGATACGCTTTACTATGTCTCATCAGCCCGTCGTCAATTCACAGACAACTAACCGCAGATGTACCTTATATCCTTGAATTTCTCTTCTGCATCCAAAGAAGGGTTTTTATCTGGGTGATACTATAGTAGATGTATGAGCTGGAACGTCTTGCTAAAGTGACACCAGAGAGAAGCATACGCACTTTCATTGCTTGCTTTCTGTATGCCTTCTTAAGGTCTGTATCGTTAACATCCACAGGGACATCCAGCTATGTCGCTGGTGGTCAGTGCATGCTGGAAGGGATGGGAAGTTGCTGCGCACCAAGTCATAGTACTCTGTTTCGACCGGTGCCATTATCTGTGCGTCCGTCGCCTCTATAGTACTAGTGTGGATATTTTGTCTATAAGATGGAAGGGAAGGGCAAGAGATGCAGAAGAGTCCGAAAAGTAAGAGGGGGATGAACGTCAACAAGCTGATGTCACTGCTGAGTCCTGACTCCAAAAGACAGTGGCACAGCCACAAAACCTGTAAACGATGGAAGAAGCGGACTTGGCCGAAAAATCAATGGTTCTGGGTAAAATTGCGATCTCGTATTTGCACAGACATGATAGGACATGATGTATAGCGAATAAAAATCCAGTGCTACAATGGGGTGGAATAAAAAAAATGAATGATAACATCCCTTGGAATAATGTGGCGCTGGGTAAAGAAAGTGCGAGTTAATGATATGAAATAGGTAGCTGGCCAGACTTTCGCGCAGCTAAGTAGTGTTTGTGTCGAGACGGATCAATAATTATGAGTGCCTGACTCAATTTTCATTGTCCAACGCAAGCACGCTGGTAGAGAATCGTACTGATTTTCTTGGGGTTGTCGGGCGGGTTCCCTCGCTTCCACTCCCTGATGACGCTATTGATATAACTCGGTCCTGCAAGGACGCAGATCGGTATCCGAGTATTAGTTTTGACATACGCTGTTTAATGGACCGCACGGAACGCGGGCCATCAGGTGTTGCTGGACCTGCCGAGTTGATTGTAGATGTGGAGGGAGATGGGCGGATTAATGCAGTTGAGCTCAAAGGGGGACAATTTAAGGTAGTGCTAGTGCTTGTTTTCTTGAGGGAAGAACGGGAAGGGGGTGGTGGGAGGCTGTGTGTGGGACGATGCAATGCGGATGAGTCGCGGGGGGTAGCGTATATGAGAGGGTGATGACGGTGCAGAATGCCGGTGGTGACACGGATTTCGCAAATGGGGTGTGCAAGATACATGAAGACCCATTGCAATTTGTTCAATGGTAGGACGGGAAGCTGCGGAGTCTCTGTATCTCGCGTGCATTCGTGGATGGACATGAGAGTTTCGTTCTTCTGGGGTAGAATACATGCCAACACCACCACGCTACACAGTAGAATAATGAGAATCTGCTGAAGCGAACAAGGATGCTCCGCTCACTAGGTTGTCTGCATGTCGTTTTCTCGGTGAAGTCAAGAGGGTATGACTGATAGACTTGCGCATTGAGACGAAGAAGCGTGAAGCAGTTCCACCAAGTCCAGCTGCAGGACTCTGCTGACGTGATTGAGGTTTGTTGTTCGTAGACACTTGTACTTGTGAGGAAGACGCTAGGGCGTTCATCGTTCTAGATCGAATTGGTATGAGAAGAGGGGTGCTTGAAGATCTACGCGTGGTGACTCGTGGCGGCGCGGTGCGCAGCAGGTGATGTAATAAATATCGTGGTATGCGTTGTTTTCGCCTAGGGTCCGACGTTAATGACATGAATCATACATGTACATGCATACAAGCAAGCAGGAACAAGACTCTTCCTCGGTATAAGTCGATTGTCTCGGCAATCCTAACGTCACCGAACACGTTTGTACCCGGCCCACTAAATATTATAAATCTTCGAGCTCTAATTCCATAAGGCGCTATAGCCAAGTGGTTACGGCGACAGATTAGAAATCTGTTCCTCTTTGAGGGCGCAGGTTCGAGTCCTGCTGGCGTCGATGTATTCTTTTTCGAATCCCTGGGCAAGTTGACCCTGGCTGTATAGTACACCAGTACTATCCTTGAGGATGCTTTAGGGGCCCTTCTCATGAAGCCCCCCCACCCCCTTCGAGGATGGCAACGTTAATCCCACTCGGCCCTTTTTCTCTGACACTTTTATCAATTCTATTTATGATCTTTTCTTGAAGTCCAGCCCTTCAAAATGGAGTTTTGATTGCTCTTGCATTCGAGAAACTAGCGCAGGCATCTGTCACAGGTTATCCCACGCCCGCCACGCTGTCAAGACCATGCTGATGGATGTCTCGTACGTTGCTAGGTCTGGTCCAAGCATTCGCTGATGGGCCGAAGTTGATACCTTTTCAAACTCAGTCACTGGAAGATTGTCGGATGTTGTTCAAAGCACACTAGTTGCAAGTCACGATGCTCGTGAGTCGTTCAACAGAACAAGTGTATTCACAGTCCATTTTTAATGATAATCAGCGTCATACATGTACGAAAATCAAGCATAGTAGATGTAAGAAGATCAATGAAATAGACATACATCGCGAGTAGTCCACAATGAACCTCAGAAACGAGTCCAGGGAAACGAATCGGGAATATAAATCGAAGTTGTAGTGGAGAAGGATAAAACGATTTGCTCTGATGGATGTATGTGACCCTGACGGTTGTAGAATATCGTCTAGTAGTGAAAAATGCTGAGTGACGCGTCGTCGGGATTCAGTCATAAGGGACCTCTGGCGTCAAAGACCCGCGACATAGTGTAGTATGCGTAAACTGGAAATGACCTTCGACTTCTTGGGCAGTGAAGCTCCCGGTCGCAGGGGACAGAAGGACGCTGTCGTCCGGATTGGTCTTAGGAGACCTGACGTCGGAGATATGTTGTGCGTAGGTGTGCGGGCGCAGAGGTGGCATAGAAAGACTTGGGCGGTGGGATTCCAGGTCGTAGGGAACAGTGCAAAAAGGTCGTTATGTTGCGTTATTGGTTGTAGGTCGTCGGGGTGGAGTAGTAGTGGAAGGAGGACGCTCAAGTTGTCTGATGGCGCGATTCGTAATCAGGAGTAAAGGCATGAGCTTGAAGGTGAAAGACGAGCGATCAGAGAGAAAGAGAGCCTCCATACTTCGGGCCAATGCGTCCATGGAATAGTCGGGTTTCGGAAGAGGCCAGTAAGTAGTAGTAGATGTCGTGTTGCGGTTTATGACTAGAACGAGTGGTCGAAGCTTGGATGGATGACGCGGGTCATCAAGAATCAGAGTTCTCATTTTTGCAATTGGCATATCGAGCATAGGTTCTGGTGCAGGTCCTTCCGAGGCTGTGGTTCAGAACAATCGGCCTAGGCATTCAAAACGTCAGGTAATGGGAAAATCGAGGCTACGCTGCTTCTTACCTCGTGGACAGTGTTTTCATCCGAGTCGTCATGGGGTACAAGAGTGGTGCCGGAATCGATAGACAGACGTCTGCAGTAGAGGTCCGATTGGCGCGGCCGCTGTTGCCGTCGATTTGATTAAACGCGATGGAGATGAAGTCGGAGATGACTGTAAATGATACGGTTCGATTGGCTTAGGCGTAGCTGGTGTTGCCATCAGGCGTGCAAGTAGAAATTGGGGTGGATATTGTTTCCGTCGATTCAATTAAATGCGATTGAGATGGAGACGGAAATGACTGCAAATGAGATGGTTCGACAGACTGGGGTGCAAAAAAGATGGTCGTGTCATTAGCGAATGGAGGATTAGAGTCGGCGTTGTCGTCCTTCAGAGCGGCAGGCATATGCTTAGCCTCTGAGGATCCTCTGTGCAGCTTTGTCGGCGGCGAGAACCAGTGTGATATTCAACAAGCAGACAGAGTATACGGCGAGGCCAGCGGAGGCCTTCTCTGCTTTGGACAGGACTGAGCGGTGTTGTCGACGATAGCCTGTTTGAAGCAAAAGACCGTACTAATGAAGCCAGTGACGGCGATACAGGCAGTAATTGTCATGGCGGTAATAGAGAATGGCGTAATGGCGAATGATGATTGAAAAGGATGCATCGATAAGGGTCGTAAGAATATGCTGGGACGCTGAGAAGAGGGTAAAGCTTAGTAAGTGCGGGGAGGCAAATAATCGTGCGGCACGCCGAAGTCTTTGAGCGCTAAGTACTCGAGTCCCTATTAGTAAGGAAAGGTGGATTGGCATTTCTTACACTCGACTTTCAAGCTGTCTCTAGATGCTTGCAGTACAACATTCAGCTGTAGTTCCGGGACCACTGTCCGTCCCTTCAAACGCACCAGAACACTGCCCTGTAAGCCCCAACCAAGTCTACTACTTTCCTGATTCATCACTAATTGCACTGAATGACAGGGCACAGAATCTGAGTTAGCTGGCAAAGCCGATGCCTGCAACGGATGTGCAAATCAGGAGATCTGTGCTTCTAACACACCCAAGGGTCCTGACCCAGCGCTACCCTTTATTCGCGATCGGATGGCTACCGTGAAGCACAAGATCCTCGTTCTATCCGGCAAGGGCGGCGTCGGGAAATCTACCTTCACTGCCCAGCTTGGTTGGGCATTTGCTGCAGATGAACAGCTACAAACCGGTGTCATGGATGTTGATATCTGCGGACCATCTATACCCACTATCTTCGGTGTTGCCTCAGAGCAAGTGCACTCATCTTCGTCGGGCTGGTCTCCAGTTTATGTACAGGATAATCTTGGAATCATGTCTGTCGGCTTCATGCTGCCCTCATCGCGAGACGCCGTCATGTGGCGTGGTCCGAAGAAGAATGGGCTCATTGCGCAGTTCCTTAAAGATGTTGACTGGGGTGATCTTGATTACCTCGTCATCGACACACCTCCTGGAACTTCAGATGAGCATCTTAGTGTTGTTCAGTACTTGAAGGAAAGCGGCATTGATGGTGCCGTGCTCGTGACTACGCCGCAGGAGGTTTCCTTACAGGATGTTCGGAGAGAAATAGACTTTTGCCGGAAGGTGGGAATACGAGTGCTGGGCCTTGTGGAGAATATGTCAGGTTTTGTTTGTCCTGGATGCAAGACAGAGAGTCAAATATTCAGGCCAACTACTGGGGGCGCGGAAAGACTAGCAAAAGAAACTGGGATCCAACTGCTGGGTAAGGTCCCACTTGACCCACGAATTGGGAAGAGCGCAGATTATGGTGTTAGTTTTTTGGACGAATACCCCGACAGCCCTGCGTCAGATGCATACCTCGATATCATTGACAGTGAGTGCTGTCCACCCCTTAGATATTTTACTCATAAATTTTCAGAGATCAAAAAGATATTGGGAAGTGAAGTCGTGCCCTAGTAACTACATATTCCACTCATAGGGAGTTCGCTTCGAAGCATTAATTCTCCACGTTATTGATTTGGACAAGAGAATTCTGCAGCAACGATTGACAAACGAAAGCAGACGCCGCTGTCGTGTAGAACTCCGCACGCAGAACACAAATTCTTACAACATGGACTTTGGTTGACCAGCGTGCAAATCATATAAATCAACCGCGGCCCTCGCAATCTCATCCATGAACTCCTGGTTTGGCATCTCCTTTCGTGAGGTGACGGTATATTGCAAACGGTCTGTGTGTATACGTGTGAAGTTCAGCTCACAGACCTAAACATCCAACTTGAACGTACCGTCATATCCAGTCATATATGCCACCCCAAAGCCCTCCGGTACAACTTCACCCCATCCATACACAGGAAAATGGTCCGAGAAAATGGCACTCGTGCTCAAGACCCAGTTGCCAGAGCGTTTGTACAAAGCGTCGTTGTACAGCTCTGGAACTGGCTCGCCTTCTTTCAGGCAGAGTTTCAATCCTGGTTTACTCGTCAGCATGCAAGACACGGTCCAAGAAGACAAGCGTGACTCACCCAGCATGTGCCGATCCACCCCTTCTCCGGTCCCTGCTGTCTTCGCCAGTGCAATGTGCGCTTTGGCAGCCGCATCAAAAAGCTGTTTCCGGTCCTCACAGCTGACATGAGGGTCATCCATTGCCAAAACAAAAGCATCCGATTGCAAAGTGACGACCCTGATTGTCTCCGTCCGGCCTTTCCAGTATTTGCGTGTAGTCGCTGCCTCGTAGGTCCCTCCTTCCCTGTTCAGCCCGCGGGCACGGAGCAAGCGGGCATACGCCAGTTGGATGATCATCTGGGCCCATGAATCAGGGGACACACGGAACGCCTTGATGGCGGCCTTGCCATAGGATGTGAGGTAGTATGACATTGATTGTGACTCAGCAAGCTCGTATGCAGCTTTCGACGCCTCGTCGATTGCGGTACGAGTTGTGTCGTCTATCACGAAATCTAATGGTTCGGGTTCCGGCGGTGGAATAGCAGAGGGCGTCCCGAGGTCAAAAGCAGGATCAGCGAGCCAGTCGAGCACTTCATCGCACATACGGGCGGTAGGCGTGCCGTCCATAATGGAATGCTCGCCCAGGAGACCGGCACGTGTGTTGTCAAAAACGATAAACTCGACAGGTTTGTCAACCCAGCGGTTCTTCAGACCGGGTGCATCCGATGTAGAGGGTGAGAGCGAACCGTGCCAGAGAGAGCGGCTGTGATCTATGGGAGAGGAAGGCGTGTCGGTGTCAAGGGAGATGAGGAAGGCAGAGGAGTGTATTGTATGCAAGATAGATGCGTTGTGTGGGTTCGCGGCTAAGTGGGGCGTGGTCCTAACATTTTTCAGGGGGTGTCACGAATAATGTGCATAGATAGATGTACCTTGGCCCATACGTCACGGTTTGATGCAGTCAAAACGCCAACTCCTGGGTATTCATCGGTGGTAGAGTCGTAAATGTGTTGTATCTGTCTGTAGCGAATGTTAGTTTTGAGCACATGTAATAAAGCGGGAGGAGGGACACACTTCTCTAGCTCAGCCATGCTGAGTATTCGCCCATTTACGATACCTTTGAGCTTCCAGAACCTGTTCCTTCTCACAATAATGATATAGCCTAAATCATCTGCCTTAGAACCCGCATGAGATACACTCCAGTCGAGACCGTAGAGGCCAGGTATACGACAGCAATTAAACATCCATCTTCATAAGAGGTTGAAGGATGAAAACAACTTCAATATTCCGTCACGTACCGATACGTGTCCATACAGAACTGACCCTCCTTTGTTCCGTCAGGGCTCACCTGACCACTCAGCAACTTCTGCCGAAATACGAGGGCTCCACGTGCAAGGCCAGCAGCACGAGCAGCAGGGCTTTGCGGAAGGTGGGCAGGTTGCCCATCGAATCCATCTGTGTATGAACCGTCAGGGCCGAAGACATGAGGAAATGTTGTACAGCTCACAATAATATGAAACATTCACCACCACCTTTGCACGTGTTAACATAGTACTTGCCATGCGTAGTGGAGCTGGACATACCGAATCTCGATAGCCCAAATAGCCGAGATTATCCCACCACTCCTCTAGCCAATGTTCGCGTTCATTTGCACGCTGCAGGAGACGAGACTGCAATAGGTTCCCTGGCCCAGCGTGTGATCCGAATGCATCAATCTTCTTAGCAGCATCACTGAATTCAGCTTCCGAGTGTGCCAACGGTAACAATGACGTCTTCAATCGCTCGAGGGTAGCAGTGAGATTTGGAACTGGCAAACGAGGAAGAGAGTCATGTTGGGGCGCGAAGTTGGGTATTGGAGGAGCGGCTGCTTTCCAGTCAACTGGACGTGGCCCGGTGAGAGATGGCATGTGGATCTTTCTGAGTGATAATGGTCTCCGACGAACTATGAAGGGAGGAAGCCTGGCAAGCATTAGGCTGGAATCAGTACTGCAGCGCAACGCAACTTATTTGAATCTGTCTGAAACACTAAATAGTATCCGAGTCCGATGTACTTCGGCTTGGATATCGATATCACGAGTGTCGCCGTTACGGCTCACGTGTTTGTCGAAAGTTAGCCGGTGCCTTTTATAGTAATAATATAGTTGACTTGCTCGCAGCTCGAGCCAGTGACTGCCTATCTGTGACAACGGACTCCAGTGTTGAACTGATTGTGTATGTCCTCATCTCTCTTGGAGAGTGTCCGGTTATAAAGAAGCACGCCTTCCTTGAAATCGGTCAAGTTGAATCCTACTACTTACAGCTTTGACAGGAGGAACGACTGTCACCTTCCTTCTATTGGTCTGCATACGGGGGGACTAACTTGTGGCCCTTCCGATGCCTTGCCGTATATCATTACAATCGATGTACGCGGGCCTGAACCATCTGGAGGAATTTTTGCCCTCCTCACATCCGGTGTAGGTACTAGTAGAGGTGTCGTTCATTTGACGCTGACTCACCATCTTGTTATAAAGGGTGAGACATGACTAGGAAACTCCGTGTCACTCGCTTGATTTCATAATTTTGAGCCCTTCTGAGCGTGAATTCTTATAATGACGGCGAAGCTCGAAACCATTGCCCATTATCAATATTCATTATGGTTCGTGTTACATCACGCATCGTTCCTTTGATAGTCTCTACTAGTAGTAATTTCCACTATCCACAGAGCCAAAGTACATTGAACGACTAAAGAAACTGTGGACTATACCGGGTCACAGCTGGTGATCCCACACATAATGCGAGCCCACTGCTGTGGATGATGCCACAATTCATGGGGCGAGTATTAAAGGCGTCCAACCAGCTCCCTCTCTTACTCACACATCATGGAACCTCCTACTCCCATTTCATTTAGCGACCTTCCAACTGAGCTCGTCCTACTTATCTTCAAATATGCAGCGCAACCAGATTTTGCTCAACCTGACACTTACACTACCAAAAATCCATACTCATCCGCCCTTTCACTATCTTGCGTCTCCAAAGCTGTCAGGCGCACTGTGCTGCCCGAACTTCTGCACACAGTATTATTGCCAGAAGCTCGTCACGTAGCAGCTTTCATACAGGCTCTACGTATACAGAAAAAATACGTCGATCGTGATCTATCTCTTGATTACGCATCTTGCGTGCACAGGGTGTGGATTGGAGAATGCCGGGGACCTTTGGGAGACCAAAACGCTCCATTCATCAACAACTTTACCCCTCCATTCATCAACAACTCTACCCCTCCATTCATCAACAACTTTGCCCCTCCATTCGTCAACAACTTTACCCCTTCTGCGGCTGAGTTTGACTCGGAGTCAGATGTCAGCCTGCTAGCTCCGGTCATCCTCGCCGCACCGTCTCTCGCGATTGAATTTGTCAGTATGGACATTCTTTTAGGTTGCCTCAAATATGCGTGTAACTCCGATGTCGACTTGAATGTCGACCACAGAAATTCCCCGCTTCCTTGGAGCACGAAAAGTTTGACGCTATCGGGTGGTTTCTCTTGTCAATGGTGGCCTTTCGTGGCGACCACCCATGGATCTACTTTCCTCACTTCTATCCAACACCTCACCTTACTCGCTTCCCCAAGGCACGAAATAGCTCTGCACGCCGCTGGCCGCTGCGCCAACGACATTGATCGTCGATACTCTGAACCCTACATTGTCCCTCTTTGGATGGCACGGGCTCCTTTCAAGAAACTTCAGACATTTTCGATGCTCATTCCGCACAGGGAACGCCCGGTCGCTGAATGTGTCCCTGCGTCTAGCGCAAAGGCGATATGGGTGGACCTGGCCACATTCCCTGCTTCCCTACTGTCGGACTGTTGGGCATTCCAAGAAAGCAACAGGTTTACGGAGATTCAGACCACTCCACATATTCGACTACCAGCATCCTGTTCTCCCAAGTTGTGTGCTCTTTGTCTGGATCGCGAAAAGATTTGGGCATATGGATGTGAGGGCCCCAGGCCACTGGTACGAATGACAGCCTGATTATTGAATATATGTACTCCTTCGCAATCGATTGTTTTAGTTACTGTACACATGAACACGATAATATGTTCCGGCTGGCGGCTGGGGGTGTTCCTTATTTATTGTCCGCTGTGACTAATTCAACAATAAGTACTAGTGGCTTATTCGTCTCGAATTCCACGTTGGTGAGGGAGCGATTCTCATAAGAAGCAATCAGGACCTCAACAAATTGTTCACCAGGCTCAGGGCTGCGAATGACGTCCAACATCAGAAGATAGTATCCCCAGTAGATGCGGCTCTTGTTCCTCTTGCGGGTGCTATTTCTTCCGCTAGCATCAAGGACTGATCGCCCTGATCATGTGCGCATGCATCTTCGGTTAATGAAGCCAGCTGGCGTTATGGTGTATATAGTTGACCAAAACTCGGCCCTCTGCCCGGTTGTAGGTGCGCAAGGTAGCCTTAGCCATGACCAATGTGCGCCCACGCAGATGAGAGTACCATTCTTCAGGTGGGATGGGTTCGTCGTCCTCGTTCCTAAAGTCCTGTTGTTAGAGCTTTGCGGGCCGATGGTTGAAGACATCCTCTCCGTGATCTGGCAATACACCAGGAATTGGACGACAGTCCAGAGAAGCAGATCCTTTCAGGAGTCATCAGCGATAACGAGCAGTCGTCAACGAGCATGATCCGAGGCAGCTCAAGCGCTGCTATCGATAAGTGTCCCTCTTCAGAATCTGGTATGTGTTATCATATAACATCGTCCGAACGCGTGATTCCTGATCTTTCTTATTTTCAGACAGTACCGCCACCTCGGTTGCTCGTGATCTTTGCGATAGACTGCTCGCCCAGATATATCCGAGGCAGCTTGAAGACTAGGATTACAGAACGCATCGCAAGGTTCATAGCGCAGGAGGACTGCTGAGTGGAAGACCTGAGAGGACCCGCGCGAGCTGAGATATGAGAGCCTGCAAAGAATAAATTGACGGGGTTTCCCGACCGCTGGGAAATTATCGCTTGGCGACGTCCGCAAACTTAATACCGAGCTTAAGTCAAGCTTAATCATTGCTTGCTTGAATCAAATTGTGGACCAAGCTGTCCTTTCCTTTAGTTGAACTCGCAAGCTACCTTCTCTAAGTTATTCTCGCATGCCTGACCATCCTTGCTCTTTTTTTCCCGTATTCGAGGTAAGTGCTCGTCATGGCTTAAAGTTCTCGCGCAGAAGCCTGTCTCCCCTAACCTTGAATATTTTTGGGGTTCAGGGAGAACTTCACTCTGAGAAAGTTTTACCACAAAGGATGACCAAAACTCTCTGGCTCCAAGGACATGTCCATGTCATACTCGCTCCCCTTTGAACTCCCGCAGCATTACTAACTGTCGAGCTCCGAGAGTTCTCATTCAGAACGTAAGTACAAAACAGTGAAATCGTTTCTACTCGGCCTCGGTTGACCATCATGATTCATCAGGGATGAAGAGACTTCGCTTACGCGAAGTCTCTTCATCCCTACAACTGGCTAGTCTGAGGTCTCCCTATAATTCGCTAGTCCGAGGTCTCATTACGGCAGGCAGACCAATACATCGAAGGAAGACAGCTGAAGACAGCCGTTCTTTCTTTTACTACTAGCCAAGTATGGGGATCCGGTGGGACTCCTGCGAAGTAACCGACTCCCAGCTTGGCCTGGATCGCCAAGCCTGCGGCGCCCTCGATTACAGTTTGGCAGCATGTGCATTGGCCCGGTAAGTTCCTTGAAGTTGAACATCATCCAGTGTTTTGCGCAGGCTTGGTCCAATGGTGTTTCCTTTCATTTTTATTTACAAGTTATGATAGAGCAGCAATAGCAAGTCCAAATTTACGGCATCCGGACCCACAGACGAACCTTAGCGAACGAAAGACTTCTGCTTATCCTTGGGCCGTACGGATAGCTAAAGCAGGCCGTGCGTGTAAAAGCGAAGCTTTTACTGGTGGGTCTATTCCAGGAATAATTCTCTGTCAGACTCGCAAAATGGCAGCCAATTACCAACAGGGAACCCCTTGACCTGCTGATTGTTACGACACGGTCCGAGGAATGTCTGCAAAGACCGAGCCTTGCCACGATTTAGAATCAGTCGAGCGCTCGCGCTGCAAGATGAAACTATGGTTCTAATCGCCCTTCGGTTCCTAGTCAAGGCTATTTGAAAACCCTTGGCCTCGAAGCAAGTAGCTTCCATCTCCATTCCTTTCTGGAACAAGTTCTGAGTAACATTGCTTTTAATGCGGGACCGAATGCAAGTGAAGGCCCGTTTGTTATGTTACAAACGTTGTGAACAAGGAGCACAATGCGCATGTCAGGAACAGGTAGTCTCATACTTTTTTTCATACTCCGGTGCGTCCATGCGTGTTCTGCGTGTCTCGTGGAGTTGGTGTGGTTCGTGCGAGGGTCAAACTGATCCGTATTGGCCAATGCGAGTGGGAAATCATGTGGAGAATTTACCAATGACGTTTTGGATACCCTCTAGCTACGTACGTACGTAACCCAAACCGTATCTCGCGACCGTATCTTGTATTTCTACATTAAGTGCATCGAAGTACTTTGCTGCGGTCGTCATCGCCATCATCGATCTCTACATTGTCCTCACCGCCGTTGACGCTGAGGAAGAAACGTGTGAGCGAATCAGCGGGTGATATCCAAACTTGGTGCAACTACAGGCCAAAAACTGAATCTCTACCACGCAGTCAACGCTAGCACCAGCGACCCCTACGTGACGGTAACTCTCCTGTTTGTCAACTGTCCACGATTACCCTAGAACACTGTTAGTAGTCAGATACGGGCGCGATGGACAGGCCAGCTGGGCCACGCCAGCCAGACAAGCGAAATGAAGCATACGAGTCCATCTTTGGTCGGCCTTCCGCTTCTCACCACCAGGCAGGTCAATATCCTGGCCACCATGTTGCTCAACAGCTGCAATATGCACAGTCAATACACGGCATGCCTGTGCATGGCGCTCAATACCACAACCAGCCATACCCCGCGCACTACCAGCATGACAGGAGGACATCACACTCCCAACCTCAAAATTACTATCCAAATCACTTACCACAACACCCTCAGCAGCACCTGCAGTCGCCATACAGGCAGTCATATCCACATACAGCTGCATCCCAGCAACAACTGTCTGCACACCACCATGCACAGTACACCCGCCCACACACTCTGGCGCCTCCCATAATCCATGGTCGGGCTAGATCTGTGGTCAGTTCACCCCATACTGCTGGTATAATCTCACCGCTACCAGACGATCCTCCTGATGAGTCCCTCGAGGCTTTTACGAGAGCAGGCCTCACCCCTGCACAGGCTTATCAGGCTCAAGTTTACCGTAATAGGCCTACCCATCAACGGCAGCCCAACGAGCAGGCCGATTCCACAAGGGCACCCTCTTTGAACGGTAACCATCATCGTGTCTCTAACGACGTGCCCCGTCTGGGCGTCAATCTTGGCCTCGAGGATACTCGTTTTAATATCGATTTTGGCACTGATGATCAACAAGGCCCAGAAGAGTCCACAAGCGAATTGCCATGGGCCATTCCGGACACAGATGCAAATTCAAGAGAATATACACGTGGGTTCCTCTATCCCATATCTGGTCCCATTGCACAATGAGCTCATAATGTCCCCCTTCCAAAGCAATGGCGCCCTTCCCAAGGGCACAGCAATATCGACAAGCAAGCCCTCTTTCCATCGCATCTGATCAGAGCAATTCATCTGCCAGTTCACGACCACAACCCCTTCAGCTCGACACCACTCTCATGTCTACTCGTAATTCCCTCATCAATACTTCCCCTGCTTCATCCTCCCGTCTCGACCATGCTGCCGCTTCCAAGAGTCGTCGATCATCGGACTCTGTCCGTACGATGCCTGGTGCTGCCTTTCGTCGTGACCGCGCTCCACAAGACCGATCTATGTCCATGTCAGCTGCTTCGAGCAGTGTCCGCACTATGATCGATCGCGGCTCTCGTGCCCCGAACCCATTTATGGCTGAGGGTCGCAACAGCCCCACCACCTCCGCACGAGCACCTCGCCGAGCACCTATCGTATACCCTGCACTCCTCTCTCGCGTCGCGGAGGCTTTCCGTGAACGCATCAACCTCCAGAATCGTCTTAAGGATGGTCTTACATATAAGGATGCCTTTGATGGTCGTGAGGCGGTCGACAAGATCTCATATATAATCAAGACTACCGACCGCAATCTCGCGCTACTTCTTGGTCGTGCCCTCGACGCACAAAAGTTCTTCCATGATGTCACCTATGACCATCGGCTCAGGGATAGCGCTGCAGAGCTGTACCAGTTCCGCACGACTTTGAGCCCATTCGTAAGCGGTGAGCTGCCGACAAACTTTGGGGACGGGGATGATGATGGTGATTTGAAACCGGAGCGGCCATCGCCTCGCCTTCAAGATTGTGGATCGGGGCCTTTTGGACAGGGATCGAACGACTCGCATGCTGACACACAGGAGAAAGACGCTTCACCTACTGTTGAGATCCCTGACCCGCATGGGCCCCAGGCATCAGAAAGTGTCGATGAGATGCCCCTTCCTTCGGGCGTTTTCACGCTTCTTACGGACTGCTACTCGCCGACGTGTACGCGAGATCAACTGTGCTATAGTATTGCGTGCCCTAGGAGGCTTGAGCAGCAGTCACGACTAAACATGAAGCCACAGCCTGGGCTTAAGAAGCAGATATCGAGGGAGAGCTTGGGTGACTTTGTGGTGCGTGTGACATAGTCATCCTTTCCTCAGTGCTGATTACATTCCGTCTGGGCAGGAACCTGGTACGCTATGGATACACTCCGTCCCGCAAGAGGTCGTCAACAGCGTCTCCGACGCCGAGAAAAGGCGCCAGGAAGCTATTAACGAAGTCATATACACAGAACGTGACTTTGTCCGTGACATGGAATACCTTCGCGATGTGCGTCTTCGTACATTATACTATCTCTCGTGGATTAATCTTCTGTACAGGTCTGGATAAACGGGCTGAAAGACAGTGACATCATCCCCGCTGAACGTCGTGCGGACTTCATCACACAGGTCTTCTGGAATATCCACGAAATCATCGCAGTAAATACCCGCCTTCGAGACGCACTCAACAAGCGACAAAAGTCATACGCTGTCGTGGAGCGCATCGGGGACATCCTCCTTGATTCTGTGCCGCATTTCGCGCCCTTCGTAAGCTACGGTGCTCACCAACTGTATGGCAAGTATGAGTTCGAAAAAGAGAAGAGCTCCAATCCGGCGTTCGCACAGTTTGTGGAAGTGAGTCGACTTTTCCATCATGGTTCTTCTTGGTGGTTGATACGGTTCTTTTAGACCACGGAAAGATTGCCAGAGTCGCGCAAGCTTGAGCTCAATGGATACTTGACAAAGCCGACCACGCGATTAGCTCGTTACCCGCTGCTTCTGGAGGCGGTGTTGAAGCAAACACCTGACGACAACCCAGACAAACAAACGCTTGCGCAGGTGGTCATCATGGTCCGCGAGTTCCTAGGGAAAGTGAACGTAGAGACGGGCAAGACAGAGAATCGCTTCAACCTCCTACAACTCGACCAGCAGCTCGTGTACAGGCCAGGGGAGCAAGTGGTATGTGTCCACTTCGTCATCGCGATACCTTGAGATGTTTTACTGACGACGTTCGATAGGACCTGAAGCTGCAGGATCCTGGTCGTGAACTCGTGTACAAGGGTGCTCTGAACAAGAGGGGTGGTGGGCAAGGGGACAGCGGGGACCTGCTTGTGTATCTCTTTGACCACGCTCTACTGATGGTGAAGCAGAAGAGTAAACACGAGCAATTCAAGGTCTATCGACGAGTAGGTGCTTGAGTCCCATCGTGAAAGCCTGCTTCTCACCCTTATCCGCACCCCAGCCGATACCCCTCGAACTTCTCTTCGTGCACGTCACAGATGAATCCAATAACTCCCTTCGTCCTGCTAACGCTCGCCAGGGGCATAAAACGCTCACGAAGAAAACCAGTTTCAACCGTGTTACACACCGTACGCGCCTGCCATTCCAATTAAGGTCGATAGTAAAAGCGGATTCGCCATCACATTCATACATCTGGGGCGCAAGTACTACCAGATGACGCTTTGGGCGAGCACATTTGTGAACCACCGCAAGTGGGTCGAGACCATCACGAAGCAACAGGAGTCTCTCCGTGAGCGGAGCGCAGTGTTTGAGACGATCACGTTGTGCGAGGGCTTCTTCCTCGGGCAGAATAGGGTAAATTGTGCTGCGCCGTTTGGTGAGTGATTCTGGTGTATACTTCGCGGAGAAGAGTGTTAATGAGATTAGTAGCGTACGGAAGGAGAATCGTCTATGGGACAGATGACGGAATCTATCTGTCGGATTTGAATCATTCAAACAGAGACCCGGTCAAAGTGCTGGCTCTGCTGGATGTTTCCCAAGTCGATGTCCTGGAAGAGTTCCAATTACTCATAGTACTTTCCGGTCAGTCTTCATCATTTCCGAGAGGCATTTTATTTACAGGTTTTACTCTAGAACGACAAGTCATTACATTCCCGCTAGACGCTCTCGACCCCATGGACCCGATGTCTGGCTTGAAGAGGGCGAAGAAGATATCATCGCACACGACGTTCTTCAAGGCTGGCATTTGCCTAGGAAAAGTCCTCGTTTGTATCGTCAAATCGAGTCCGCTGTCTAGCACGATTAAGACATTGGAGCCGATTGACCAGAACATTCGCGGAAGGAGCAAACCGACGTTCCGTAAGATTTTGCAAGGCGGGAATGATACGCTGAAGGCGTTCCGAGTAAGTCTTTTCATGTATATGATGTTCAAGTGGCTCATTTCGCCGTAGGAATTCTACATTCCCGTGGAGTCGAGCTCAATCCACTTCTTGAAAACGAAGCTCTGCGTAGGGTGCACGAAAGGGTTCGAGATTGTCGATCTCGAGAGTCTTGATACACAGGGACTCCTAGATCCGGCCGACGCCTCCCTTGACTTTGTACGGAAAAAAGAAAATCTTCGGCCGATGGCTATCTATCGGGTAGACAATGAGTTTCTCCTTTGTTATGATGGTAAGTGGCCGGAACATCTCTCTTTCGGCGGCAATAACTCATCCGCCCCTAGAATTCGCGTTCTATGTGAATAAAAACGGTTGGCGGTCCCGACAAGATTTCATGGTGCACTGGGAGGGGTCGCCCACTGGCTTTGGTACGTTCAGGCCCCAGGTACGCTGGGCCAGCGCTGACGTAGTCAATCAGCCCTTCGTTTTCCGTATGTTTTAGCGTTTGAACCCACGTTCGTGGAAATACGGCACGTCGAAACAGGTCTCATGTCGCAAGTCATTCAGGGGAACAACCTCCGTCTTTTATTCGCTGACATGCCTCCGTCGGCGACGCATTTAGGTAATGCACAGCAAAACCAATTCTACGGGCACCAGGGATATAGTCCATATCAGCACTCGACTCCGTCACTTTATGGGCAGCCGCCAGCATATGGACAAGGATATGGTTCACCTGCCCATTCCCCTCAGTCTCAGCATTCACGCTACATACCATCAGGGCGCGACGAGATCTTGATGGTCTCTGACGACCGTGTGTTAACGTTGCGAATGACTGTGGGACCACATGTTACTTGTGATACGGTGTCGTTAGCGTCATCGCGATGACTGTAGGTATTTTGTTTTGCGCACGTTATGATATTCAAATGTGTTATATGAGTATCATCTGCTATGATTTTGTCTGTTAATTCGTGATACTAGTACCCTCATCATAGCATATATTTCTATTGCATTTGTGTAGTTTGACCAATGACTGGTGACCTTCGGGAGTTTGATATACAGCATCGAGAATCGAGAAGTTCCCAGGAACATCATTACCATTTTTAGATGCTGTGTGACCGAGTATCCCATATATGGCAGATCCAGTATTTATGTAATTTGTTGATGTTTTTTTCTATTTCTCAATCGCGTTTCAAGTTCCAAAACCATCTTCTCTGTCCCGTCACTCTTTTGATTTTGTCTTGGCTAGGCCTGTTCCGTCATGCAGCTGCAAGCCCTCGTCACTCTTTTATCTCTTCTCGGTGCTGCTAATGCCATTCCCGACCAACACGTTCGTCTTGCAAAGAGACAGAATGCTGGCGCTGTCGTTGCCAGTGGTTCGAGCTCCTCATCATCCGGTGCCCCAACAACGAGCTTCACATCGGCTACATCGACCTCGAATTCACCCGTTCCGACCACACCTGTTGGCACCACTATTCCTCCACTGATTAATATCACTTCGGGCATGGCGACCCCTTCGACCGTCCCCCTCTCAGCTACATATTCCGCAGGCGCTACACCTTTAATTTCCGGTGCTCCAGTTTTGCCTACTCCCTGCAAGTTTTCTTACCGATGTCTGTTTTTGGTGCTGACAATATTTTAAATAGTCGTATTCCAAGCTGCAAGCTGGCCTGTTCAGGACCAGATTGCACCTACTAGTGCGTGTTGTAAAAAATTGCGATGTGTTACGAAGCATAATATTATTGTGCAGATTCGTCAGAGGTCTCCGAATGGATGGAAGAACTTGCTAATTTCACCATCCCCGACCTCACTCCTACGGTAGATGGCACTTGCGCCAACGACCCGTCTGCAGCCGCGCAAGCTGCTAGTCGTGGTTGGTGGACCTGCGGTGGTTATACCCGTGTTACTGATATCACTGCTTGTCCGGACAAGTTGACATGGGGTGTCAGCTTCGACGATGGCCCAGGTTTCTACAGTATGTATATTTTCCTAGCATTGTACATTAATCAAGGCTCATGTTTTGAACAGCTCAGTGTGTTATCTTCGACATTCTTGATTGTAATTTTCTCATCGATTGACAGGGAGCTTCTTGACTACTTGGCTTCTAAGAACTTGACCTCAACGTTCTTCGTTATTGGTTCTCGTATCGTCGAGCGTCCTCAGGTTCTTGTGGAGGAGTATATGGCTGGGCACGAAATCGCTGTCCACACCTGGTCGCATCGTGTACGTGTGATAAAATTAATCTTGCGTCTATGATTAATTGTGCAATAGCCTCTCACCATGCTTACTACCGAACAAGTCGTAGCTGAGCTTGGTTGGGCACGCAAAGCTGTCAAGGACGTCATTGGTGTTACTCCCACATTGATGCGTCCCCCTTACGGCGACATTGACGATCGTGTTCGTGCCATTTCCCTGGCAATGGGTATGGTCCCCGTTATCTGGACTAGCACTGGTACTGGCGCAACGTTTGATACCAACGGTCAGCTATCTCGATTTTATGCTTGGATTTTGAATCTAAATTCATTTTGATAGACTGGAAGGTTCCAGGCGGTGTGGTCACAGGTCCTCAGTCGTTCGCCACTTTTGAGGCTATTCTAACTAACGCAACTATGCTGAACACTGGGTAGGTGCAGTCTGGATTGTCCCCGTTTGACTTTACTCATTTTCTTTCCTAGATTTGTTGTTCTTGAGCACGACTTATACGCACAAACTGTTGATCTTGCCATTGGCTACACGCTGCCTGCTGCTATGAACTTTACCCCCGCACTTACTGTTCGTAATTTCCCTGATGTGCGGACAATTATCTGACTCCCCGTATTCAGTTCGACTCGATTGGTCACTGCAATGGCATCCCAAGCACGAACCTGTACCGCGAGAGCAACACAAACACGAGCTTCCCCTACCCGAACAGCACTAGTGGTGACTCGACCGTCCCTAGCAGCGCAGGCGGACAGGGTAACACCACCAAGACTTCTGGTGCTCTATCGGATGCCATGATGCCTATATCTATGGTTGTCACTTCATTATTGGCTGCTGGCGGCTCCTTCCTCATGTGACCTGACGGATATACCACTTACGCAAGCTTGATACTAATCTAGCTAGATGATGGACGTACAGCAGCTGTATATATATATTTTGCCCTTCGTGGACAAGTATGTTTTTGTGGATGCTGCTCTATCTATTCTGATTTTAAATACCCCGTTTTCTCTCTTCAATATGTTGTAATCTTGTGTGAGGTTTTGGGTTTGGGACAGAGGGCTTTGCAGGGAGCAATAAAGTGCTTCGGTGTACGTCTGAGGTATACTCTGACATAAACTGCAAAGGGTCGTACGGGTCGAGTGCTGGCAGATAAGCATGTTACTTACGGTGATAGCCGATAAATAAGGCTTGTAGGACAGTTAAGCTACGCGGTTGTATTATTGATTACTACTACCAGCCATATCAATTCATGGCCTCACTCATCACCGCTGTTCGCTCAAGTATGCGCGCTGCCTTCTTATAAGCCAGCGAGCGCTAATATACATATCACAATTGCAGAATTGCTTCAGGCCATCAGATCCGTGAATCCCCCTGGACGATGGAAGATCCTTGTGGTAGACGAACACTCACAGAAGCTGTTAGGCTCAGTCCTCAAGCAGTTCGACATCCTTGAGGAGAATGTTACCTGTGAGCCCTTGTCAGTCGGATAACCCAACTAGCACTGACAGTTATATGGGTCAGTGATTGAGTCAATATCCAGTCACCGGGAACCCCAGCAGTTCGAGGCAGTGTATCTACTCATGCCGACTACGCAGAATGTCAATCGCATCATCAAAGATTTTAGCGACGGTCGCCAGCAATATCTTGGGGCTCATTTATTCTTCGTCGATGGTACGCTTTCTCATCTGACTTCCGCGTCAGCTGCATCGGCTGAGGACGGGCGTGTGCTTTAGGGTTGTCGGAAGCCTTGTTTGAGCACTTGACGACATCCTCTGCTGAACCGCATCTCAAAGGACTGCAGGATCTGTTTGTCAACTTCTGGGGTGAGTTTCACACGGAGGCCACTCACGACGAAGCTTGATGTTGATTAGGATGCCTCCGTATGCAGCGACCGAGGCACAAACCTTCTCTCTTCAGTCACCAGGACTGTTCTTTAACACTTATAGCCCACCGCGAAATGAGGCTGCGTTTAAGTCAGCGCGATCGAAGCTTGAGGAGGAGCTGCGGTTTGTGAGCAAGACTGTAGGCATTCAAATGCAGGTGTTTGGAACTATGTCCGTGACCTCAATTATTTGCAGATAGCAAATGTCTGCATCACCCTCAACGAATTCCCGTACGTTCGGTACTACATGCCAACTCACCACACTCCCCTTGGTCCCCTCAAACCCAACGACCAAACGCGCGCCCCTCCGCCTCCTGAAGGTAGTGGTCGATGGCGAACCAATTTAGCTCGCGGAGACGCTGCACGCGCGTACGAGGTCGCTGACACGGACTTCGTTACAAAGTTGCTTGCGTTGATGGTCCAGCAAAACCTGGACGAGTACAAACGGATTAATCCGGAGTTTCCTGTGAGTGCTCAACTCAGGTGACCTGTTGACTTCGAATGGCTTATTAAATTATTGTGATTGATGACGTTAGAAAGCTTCTGATCCTCCCCGACCCCGCGGCACTCTCATAATCACGGACCGATCTATGGATACCGTCGCACCCTTCATTCACGAGTTCACATATCAGACTATGTGTAATGATCTGTTGCAGATAGACGACGGCACGAAATATATGTTTGTCTGCGTATGCTAGCGCGAAAGTTCACTGACAGCTTTACCCGTAGGTACAAGTTCCAATCATCGGTCGGATCTTACGAGGACAAGATCGCCACTCTTTCCGACGCCGACTCGGTATGGACCACTGTCCGCCACATGCATATGCGTGAAGCGATCGACAAACTCATGGCGGATTTTAACAAATTTATGGAAGAGAATGCAGGGTTCAAAGGGGAGGGTGCTGCCAGTCTCAATGACATGAAGGATATGCTTGCAAATTTGCCTCAGTATCAAGAGCAGAGAGAAAAGGCGAGTGCACGCGTGTGCTTGCGCGCATCGATGATACTGATCTTGTGATGACATTCAAGTTCTCGTTGCATCTGAACATGGCGCAGGATTGTATGAACTTATTCGAGAAGCACAAACTACCGCTGGTGGCCAACGTTGAGCAGGTAGCTGTGATACATTCATTCGATGGACAAAGCTAACGTATATCCAGTGTTGCGCTACTGGACTCACCGCGGAGGGGAAGACACCGAAGAACCTTGTTGAGGAAATGGTGCCCTTGTTGGATAGCCAAGAGGTCATGTTAGCATTCACATAACCTTTCTGTGCAGCTGACCTGATAGTCTTGCATAGAAATGCCAATAAAGTGCGCATGGTTGCGCTTTACATCCAACATCGTGATGGTGTTCCAGACGAGGATCGCCGACGATTGTATCAACATGCACGGCTAAGCATGGCTGATCAGGACGCCGTCAATTCGTTGGTGCATCTCGGTGTTCGCATAAGCAGGGTACGCACGTGGCAAGTGTAATTCATCATCTTACTCATGGTTGCACCTAGGGACCTTCAGACAAAGATACCAAGAAGAAGCTCAAGCAAAAGACATGCAGTGACGACGAGTACGAGCTCTCACGGTACCGACCTCTGCTTCGGACAGTCATAGAAGTAGGGGCACTCTTACATCTCATTGTTCTGTGCTGAATGCTATCCCCCAGGAACACTCAGCCAACAAATTAGACTCCACGCTCTTCCCTTACGTCAAAGATTCCCCGACAGTTCTGTCGCCAGCTGCAAGTCTTAAACAGACAACACCCCAAACCACATCCTTACGTAGTGCGAAGCCTAGTTGGCACAAGGCTGTTCGGCCGAATGTTCTTGCGGAGAGCAAGCAGCGTGTTATCGTGTTTGTGGTCGGCGGGATGACATACTCGGAGATTCGAGAAGCATACTCGTTGTCGACGTCGCTAAACAAGGATATCTACATAGGTATGTCATGCGCCCTATCAGGAGCACTCGAGGTCACTGAAAGCTTGTCATCTGTAGGCTCGACGCACGCTATTACGCCCCGTAACTTCATCGATGACCTGAAAGTCATTGAAATTGCGGGGGTCGGCTCACGTGCTGTGCCAAATGGTGTCTCATTGGCAGGAGCACATCACTCATATCAAGAATATTATGATGAGAAATACTTCACACCAGACCCTCCTACACCTCAACGCCCCGCACTCCCTGTGCCGAAGGATTCGAAACCCTTCGCCAGCAAGCTTGTGAAGACACCATCAACAACATCATCGGCGTCGCTGGTCGGCTCGGGCACGGTAGAAAAGGAAGAGAAGAAGAAAAAGAAGGGGCTTTTCCGTTTCTGATTCCTATCATACCTCTCCTGCTTAACCAATTTCTCCGCTCGAACCACCCACGGACGATATTCAACGACGCGGAAGTTTGTAGACTACAATAAGGTGACGTTAATGAACCTTTCGGATTATTTTGTTTCTCAGTTGTCATAACCCTCGAATGCGAGATAAAAATGAGATACAATGCAGGCGGTATATTACATGCGGGTCTATGCAGAATACTCCAACTTGGCTGTGAATTGCTTGAGAAAATGTGACGAACTACAAAGAGCTTGGACTCACTCTCATGCTTTTTAGCATCGCTGACCTTCCGTGCAGCTTTGGTGAGATCTTCTTGGACGATGTATTCTCTTCGCGAGAATGAGCGAAATAAGTGCTTGTCATGACAAGCTAGAACTCACCGGTCGTCCCTGATAGCGAACATGCCTGCTTCTGTCACCACATTCCGCAGGTCAGCACCATTGAACGCATCCGTGAGCTGCAAGCCGCGTGAGATGAATACAAGATGACATCAATAGAACCCACCTTCACGATTGCTTCATAATCGATGTATCCGCTCTTGTTCACGGGTTGTGCATGGATCTTCAAAATCTCTAGTCGTGCCTGTTCGTTCGGTAGAGGAATTTCAATCTTCCGGTCTAATCGACCAGGACGGAGGAGAGCAGGGTCAAGAGTGTCTGGCCGATTTGTTGCCATAATGAGCTTTGTTCGTCCTAGGGAGTCGAAACCATCCATTTGGTTCAATAGCTGTGAAAAAGTGAGCTTGATCCCACAAAGAAAGTGGGGAACAAATACCAACCTCCATCAATGTTCTTTGAATCTCACGGTCTGCGCTGGTACCCTCCGAAAACCTCCTTCCGCCGATGGCATCGATTTCGTCCATGAATATGACGCAGGGCTCGTGGTCCCTTGCATACCCAAACATCTCACGTACGACTCGTGCGCTCTCACCAATGTATTTGTCGACGATAGCAGAGGATACTACTTTCAGGAAATTGGTTTGGAGAGTGGCTGCAACAGCACGGGCGAGGAGGGTTTTGCCCGTCCCTGGGGGACCGTATAACAGGACACCCTTGGGAGGCTTGATACCGACACGGAGGAAAAGTTCTGGGCTGAGCAGCGGTAGCTCGATCACCTGGAGAATAGTAAGTATGAAGTAGTAGGAAGAAATTATAGCAGACATACCTCACGCAGCTCTCGTACCTGTTCACCCAAGCCACCAATACCTGCAAACGATGCACCTCCAGGATCTTCCAAACTCATCTTGTAAACCATAGGATCTACTTCTCTTGGCAGGATACGCATGATTGTAAGGGTGGTCATGTCAAGGGAAACCCGTGTGCCTGTCTTGAGTTTCTCTGCTGGTAGGGCGGGGCGGTAAGAGACGACATATCGAGGTCCTGACGATGCCTTTACAATAACTATGCAGTGATTGAGCGCCCCAATAGATAAAGAAACCTAATGCGACTGACATCGTTCGTCATCTAGTTGTTTCATAACCTCTCCAATGATCTGCCCAACAGACTGCACGGCCTTGATATCATCCTCGGTCTTCGCGTAGTCAGCCTCAAGATCTTTCAACGAAAACCGCACTGTATGGAAGCAACGTTAGAACGCTTCGAATGCGCTGATCCGACAAACACTAACAGTTCTTGAGACTCTGACTCGAGTTCTCGTGACTCTGCATTTTCTATAGCGAGCTGAAATCAGCAGAAGTGCAAGGCAGCCAGTTCGCTTACATCCCGGTAGCTCTTAAGAGCATCCTTTCTTCGTTGGTCCATTGTGCTAGATGATGTTGGGTGATGATGTCGGTCCTTAAGATGAACGCGAAGGGACGCGTCAGTAAACCTATTTGGAACTTACACGATTATGATGGTTCAGTAAGACGCAGGTTTCATCGGCCTGGTGGTCTAGTAGTATGATTCCTTGTTAGGGTTCACCCAAATTCGAGGAGGTCCCGGGTTCAATTCCCGGCCAGGCCCTTTGTTTTTGCTTTTTTGCTTTCTCTTGCGACACTTCCACCGTACGGCGTATGTACTATTGCCAACTCCCAGCCTGATATATCTAGTCTCCCCAGGCGGACCATGGCAGACCTTGAAGATAGTCGTTCCTTCTCTATTATCATGGACCAGCGTACTTGCCAATCATAAGCCGCCGTACCACACAAGCTGGGAGTCGAGCCTCAGATACTAGCTATGAACGTACAGGAAGTAGGACAGAACACCAAGGGACGGTCGGACTGACGAAATAAATCATTCCTTAGGGTGTTGTTCTACCAGTACTCGAAGTTCGAACAGCTTCTGCGCTTTTTCTGAACGTAGATGGGCCTTAGGATTCAAGTAAGTACAAGTGCTGTGCAGCCCTGTATAAACTATTCACCACAGAGGTGAACAGAGGCCATACCGAGATTTGTGGGGATAGATAACCGAGCTCGAAGTAAGAAACAGTAGCAGACCTAGCATGCGTGGAACTTCAGCGGAAAAGCCAACCACAACCACATTCAAATAAGATGGATCATGATGACATACATGTCATTTAGTCAAGTCAATATGGCAAGGTATCGCATGTAGTTGAGTAATAGCTCGCCGCCCAGCATGGCGTTTACGACAAAATTTAATCAATTTTATAAGGCATCCACAGCATCACCTGAAAACCCGTGAGTCATGGGCCTCGGATTACCAAACACTCCAGATAAACTCATAGTCGTCGCAGTTATTATGTTGAACAAAGTAATTGGTCGAGAACCTCACACCTACAGTAGGAGCGCAGATTTTCAGACGGGAATCGCAGGGATCAATACAAATACTTACTGCGTCTGTTAAGAGAACTGGTGAAAAATTTGCTGTATGCTGCCGGTCGGGAGAACAATATAGTGTGCGAAGAGACACAACAAAATGTGGCTGTTTGTGAGAGAAGACTAATTAACACAGCGCCAACTTGTTGGACTCGCAAACATATGTCCGCTTACAACATGAAATACATATAAAACAGGGATGAGGGACCAGCGTCGCTTCTACTGCAAATGGGTCACATTATCCACTTGTTCTTCTTTCTGACGTGGGACTCCACTCACCCAGATCAGTTCAATCTGTAGATCCATTCATGGTGAGCTAGCTCCGCTGATGGAACAAATTAATCTTACCTCTTGTCCGAATGTGAGTACCAGAATCCCATCATGATCCTGACTTCTTGAATAAAATCTTGCTCACCCCAGCCGTATACTACCAGCGCAGCTGAAGATGTAACTGCAAAATCGCAGTAGAAGGTTAGATGGAGACATCATGTTCGTTGTCCGATGACACTCCACGAACCTACGAAATAGCCGAAGATACCGGACGAACTGATAGTCGGTCACCAGCTGGGATCGTTCCAAATCGAAACCAGGGTCATTTTCGAAGGATGTACGTGGTGGAGCGGCGAACGTGGCGGACGATAGCGTTCATGCTAGATATACTGCTATGGAGCTCTTTTGTGGCTGGAATAGGAATTATGGAGATCCTGCCACTGACTGACTGAAGTATTTTGATATAAAATCAAGTTGAAAGCGGAAGTCGGTTCTGGGGGATTGTAGATGTGAACCTGCAAAGCAGTCACGCAGAATGTATGAACACCGCAAAAGCTCGAGAAGCTAATCGGGATTTCGGTACTTGTATCCGATGCCATTCTGACATCTTTGTGCTAGCATTAGTTCAAAAGTTCCATCATTCATTGATGTTAGATGCCCAAGCGTGATGTCATCATAGAAAAACCTGTCGTCTTAATGATTTTCAATGCCAATCTGCACAACCTCTACCTCGCTGCCCGCACCCGAGAGCGTAAGAGATGTCCTGGTCACATTCTGTTCGAAATGACACCAAGAAGGTCAGATATGAAAGGTATGTACCATGCATAGGTCGAGATGCAACAACTAGATAACTCGCCTCTAAATCTTCACACAGACTGCCAACACTCGATGGCTAATATTCCTCCAATGCCCCGTTTTGTATCAGTGGCCTTGTGCACACCTCATGAGTCACTCTGCCTTGGTCATGGGGTGACGATGTCGTAAGGATGCATATTATAATAAGGATACTAGTGCGATTTTGTGGCACTGCTCGCACTGAATCCATCCTGGAGGTCGGTAGGGCATCAATTTGCACAGCCAGATCTGCTGGTTGTATGATGCCACCACTAGAGGCTAGCTCCAAGCAGAAATGAGAGGCCACAGGAGGGGAAAAGAACATGCCCACATGACCATGCAGACATACATCTCAGCATCTCGTTCTTCGATTGTGACAGGCCCCTTGAGACATCTATTTCAGTGATCTCCTTCTGTCCAGACTCGATCTGGTCTATATATATGCTAGAACATTATACGAGATGAGGTAAAGGACTCACAGCCGGAATATGACGCGCAGGGACAAAAGCCGCGCAGTGGCTTGATGGTTGCACTCCCGTACACCCAGGGTCAAAGTTCAAGCGACCACATAACAGCACATAGTACTGTTTGCAGCGTTCCTTATCTACAATGAAAACTGGAAAAAATCGGCAACCACGCCACATAGTACGCAGCTTGATGTTTCCAGCAACCCCTCCCTCGTGTTGCTCCGGTGGCGTCTGAAGTTGCCGATCTGGACGGTGGCTTCAGACACTGCCAGAAAATATGAGCCTATGAATGACCACGGTTGTTGTCCTCAATGATGTCCTTTCTCAAATCATGTTGCCTCTGAAAACCCAATGACATCCTCTTCTATATCACGGCCTAGCTTCGCGGCTAGTATTGAGAAGTAAAGAGGACAGTGAGAAGCTGCAGCGGCCGAAAAACTGGTGTGGGAGTACACAACTTGGAGTTTCAGCTTCAGGAATAGGATGAACTGGACTCATAGACATTCTGCGATGAGAGGTGCTCCAGGTATACCGCAAAACGCTGGAGCGCCATGAAAACGCACGCAGACAGGACTTATGGATGGCCGATAACCTATAGGTGATAAATGCACCTTTTCCATAATTGTTGAAAATAATAGCTCCCCGAGTCACCCTTTGCAGCAAGTCGAGTCCCTTCGAGTTGCAGGCCATGATTTCGATGCCGTAGTTGATCAGTAGGCAGTTTTCATGAATACTACTAATAAAATGTTACGCACTCGTACTATGTAGGCTCGTGAGTTGTGGTTGGCTCAAGTTGTAGTAGTATTTACTCCACGTCCACGTACGGTTGAGTGACGGGCGGCCCACTGGCGTAGTCATCAAAGGTCACGCGCCTAATACTTGATCTGCCAATACAGTTTAACTGAAACCTTACCACCATGCCACGCCGCAAACATCAATTCCTCGAAGACGATGATTCCGACTCTTCAGAAGGCTCAGAAATTGACGTTAACCTAGACGACAATGATCCAGACATTCGTGCTGAGCGTGCCCTCTTTGAAAACTCACACAAGCGGCGTCGGAAGAATGGTAAAGAAGACGCAATTTACGGTGTATTTGGTAGCGACAGTGAGGATGAAAACCACGGCGGCCCAAGCTCGAAACGCAAGAGAAGCGACTGGACGAAGGCTCCCGCGTTTGTCGCAAAGGGACAAGTAGATTTGGAGAAGTATATGGAGGCGCAGGAGGATGAGGCAGAGGAAGGGGAACAAGAAGTGGTTGATGAAGCGGATGGGGTCGACAGTTCCGATGATGACATCGAGCAGGCTGAATATGCTGAGGATGATGGAGATGAAGATGGACTTTCAGCGCCTTCTTCGCCCCGCATACGGGATCAAGAGGAGGACGAACCACCAGAGCGGCCAGCGTTTGCCGGCCTTGGCTTAACTAGAACTGAGCCGGAACCTCCAATGCAGAACTTTACGAGAGGCGGTATAGGATCTTCGAAAGGTGGAATTGGCTCAAAGGGTGGAATAGGTTCTGCCAAGGGTGATTTCGGCAATTCTACAAGACTTGGATCTGCGACTGTAGGTATGGGATTTACGAAGGGTGGTATCGGTTCTACATCTAGTGCTCCATCTGGACCTGCTATCGCTTCCCCGGCCCCTACCAAACTAGCGTCTACATCCGAGTTGCCAACCGCCTTTGGTGGTAACAGTGCCCCTCGGGCCCAACGCTCTTTCCTCCGCAGCGGGACTTCCTCTACAAGCAAACCATCCACTCCGTTACCTGCACATGAACAAGCACACTTCAATAAGATTGGAGGTACCATCGGTGCTCAGATGCTTGCAAAGATGGGATGGCAGACTGGTACAGGTCTCGGCGCGACTGGGGATGGTATTGTTGTTCCAATCGAGAGCAAATTACGCCCGAGTAAAATGGGTATCGCATTCAGGGGGTACAGGGAGAAGACGGAGCAAAGCAAGCTTGAGGCTAGAAGAAGGGGAGAAATAGTCAGCGATGATGAGGAAGAGGTCCGGCCGGGACAGAAAAAGAAGGGCGATGCGAAAGAGAAGAGGAGCGACGCTTGGAAGAAGCCGAAGAAAGTGAAGACGAAGGTGGAGCACAAGACATACGAACAAATCGTTGCAGAGGCTGGTCAGGAGCCCGCCGCATCCGGTATTGGTCAAATCATTGATGCGACTGGCAGAACGGTGAATGCTGCTCATATCTTCCTGTCTCACCTTACTCACGCATTTTTTCAGCCTCGTGAAGTTGCATCACTCGCTGACATATCTTTGTCATCGTGGACACCATCAACCGATCCTACTCGCATACCGGAGGTACGGCATAACTTGCGACTTATTGTAGACGCATGCAAGAACGATCTTGACGGGCTTGCCCGTGAAGCCAAGGCTCTCGAGGAACGCAAAAGATTCGTTGCTCAAGAAAACATTCGGCTGCAAAAGAAAGTTACTGATGAGGCTGAACGTATGTCTGTTCCCGTTTTTCAATTCCATCGTCACTCACGCGCAGTGTATGTAGTCATTGCACGACTACAACAGGTAAAACTTGTCGTGGACGATATTGGCGCAAAGGCTAAGGAGCTAGCTTCTGTTTATGAGGCGACCTTGGATGACTTTTCGCCTATGTTTTCCACACTGCTGGTGCAGTACCCCACAGAGTTCGACAGATATCGGTTAGACGAGATTGTTGTCGCAGCAATCACGCCGATGGTCAGACGCATCGTTGCCCAATGGAATCCACTCCAGGATCCTTTAGGCTTGGTCACAACCTTCCGCACATGGAAGCAAGCGCTGAAAGTCAACTCTGTTGACAAACCACCAGATACCCAGATTGATATCTATGGTGCTCATACTGTGGCAACCCCTCCTGCTATTGAAAAGCCCATGACTCCCTTTGAGTCCCTTCTATGGAATGTATGGCTACCCAAAGTCCGTACCTGCCTTAACAACGAATGGTCACCTGAGGACCCTACGCCAGCTGTGAAGTTGTATGAGGCATGGTCGACATTCCTCCCGGCATTTGTGCGCGATAACATACTTGACCAACTCATACTACCCAAAGTGAGCAAAGCCGTTGCAGACTGGAGCCCCAAGCGTAGTACGGTGTCCTTACACGCGCTTGTATTCCCTTGGCTCCCATACCTCGGTTTGCGTATTGACGGTGTTCTGGGTGATGCGCAAAGGAAGGTCAAGAGTCTTCTGAGGAGTTGGGTACCAGCAGACGGCGCACTCAAGGACCTCAGTGGATGGAGGGAGGTTTTCGACAAAAGCGAGTGGGACGCAATGCTCCTCAAGTATGTTGTACCGAAATTAGGCTCGTTGTTGCGTGACGAGTTCCGTGTCAACCCCCGCAACCAGGATATGGAACCGTTGAAGCATGTTCTCGCGTGGTCTACGCTTCTCCACGGAAGTGTATTTGTCCAGCTGCTAGAAACCGAGTTCTTCCCGAAGTGGCTGGATGTACTGCACATTTGGCTCATACAGCCAAAGGTCAGTTTCGAAGAAGTTGCACAGTGGTATTCCTTTTGGAAAAGCAGTTTCCCGGATAGTGTGCAGTCTATGCCCGGTGTTGCACGTGGATTCACTCGCGGGTTGCAACTTATGAACACAGCTATCGAGCTCGGCCCTGATGCGCCTACGATGCTGAAACGCCCGGATCTACGTGCAGAACAGGCGATTGCAAATGCGTCTATGAAGAAGCCGACTGCAACGAAAGTCGCTCCTGCGCGTGTTCAAGAAATCACCTTCCGCTCGATTGTGGAGGAGTTTTCTGCGTCACACAATCTCCTGTTTATTCCTACGGGGCGTGTGCATGAGAAGTCGAGGATGCCATTGTTCCGCGTCTCATCTAGCATTGGAGGGAAAGGAGGCTTGCTTGTTTATGTACAAGATGATGCTGTGTGGGCGCCTGATGGGGATGAGTATGGGGCAATTACCTTGGAGGATATGGTTCTTAGGGCCAACAAGTAGGAACATTCAGCAGTGACACATGTTCTACGCGTACATAGGCAGTGGCTTGGTTCTGATGACGGCGTGCGCATTAAGTCGTGTCAAGACGCGACGCGACGGTCAGGTGACCAATCATCTTTCAATTAATGTAATGCATTGTCAATGCCAGTTTGAACAACGTGAAACTTCAAAGGGGTGAAAGGAGGCAGCATTGCAAGTTGGTCACTCTCATCGCACACAAATTCTTCCTAGGACCTGCAGGACATTGGTCATCGAGGGTTTCCCGGCAGCCTGCGCATTACCACATTCAAGTTGGACACTCACTGCTCAGTCGGCAGGCCGCTCAGAGCCACTCCTCTTTGCTGAAGTCTGTTCTGTTTCTCGGTTTACTATCATGTCTCTCAAAGTACCAGCTGAAATCATCGATGTCGACGCTCTCTTGTCGGACGAAGATGAGAAGGCTGACGCGATTCAGTTCGTAGGGTACGGCCCAGGGAGGAACTCACAATGCACGAACGCCACTGGCGCGGGTCGAATGATGACTATCAAGAATGAACCAATCGCTTCCTCGTCCCGCTTGCCTCCGTCCCCAGGACCCAATTTGCAATTCAAAGAGTAAGTTTGCCAGCATGACTCTAAGTTTGCCATCGGCGTTAATTAGGCATTCGCTGATTATCTCCCGCGTGCAGCAGTCATACATTATTCACTTACGCACGTCCAGGGCTCTTTGAAGTTGTTGAAGAAGTAAGATTTTACTTTCAAGTGTTCAGGCGGTCGAGGACTCGTGCATAACCACCTTTATCCTCAGGAAAAGAGGAAAAGAATCGCGATGGACCGCGTTGGAGAACCACCTTTGAAGAAACGTGCAACAAGTTCCACCATTGCAATTGCAAACGTGCCCGGTCGACAAAAGGAAAAACGCAAGCAGCCATCTGGGTGGAAGGAGCCGGAAATCATAGATCTGTCGATTTGTAGCAGCGACGATGACATCTTTGCAAAGGCAAGGTTTTACTCGATATCGCTCCTCTACTTGCCTCATGTGTTTGTCCTCTTAGAAACCTAGACTCGGATCCGAGGAAAACCACTTGTTTGCCGATCGCACGACTGATATCTATGCGAATGATGAGAGCAACCAAATGGACTGTAGTAACGATATACATGACCCGAACGATTTCCTCCCTCGTACAAGGGCACTGCCGTCCCTGTCCCAACCACTATCATTCAAAGACCCTGGATATGACTCCGAAGAGGAGTACGCGAATTATATGGCTTCTCTCGACATTTCGGATGAATCCAAAGTGAGTATATCTTCAATCGATACTCATATGTTCAAACTTCGTTTCTAGTGGAATCCAGTACCTTTAAAAAACAAGGCCGAAGACCTTTCGCCGAATGTGGAGCTCGAGGTCGAGTCGGCACGTCCACGACCTGGAGAACTGCGGCCGTTGCGTCCAAAGTACTTCGCCGTACACTATCCCGTCACCCCCTTAGATCCGACTTATAAGGAGCAATTCTTTTGGGGAAAAGTACGTCGTTGTTTATCTTCATGCGGGCAAGTAACGAAATTTTGCTCAGCTAAATTCAGTGCTAGGTTTCCGACCGCGCGCACTCAAACCACCTGCCCGACTTCGCTTCGCTAGGCACTTGCCGGGACGCACGCGTCCTCTCAAACTGTTCCAAGATCTTGCTTACGATAAGTTAGGTGCTGTGCAATCCTATCGCCAGGCAGCATCAGGGTGTCAGTGATATTCTCTAAGCAATATTTTGGCATCGTCCCTGACGAGTTTCTCAGCCATAAATAAGATTGTTCAAGTTCCAGGCGCCATCGTAGCCTGTGCGGCGGCATCGGGTGGGCATCCCGACTATTCGGATGAAGATCGAGAAGGTGCGCGTGTCGCGTTCTTTTCTTATTTGGAGACACTTAATTCCCGCAGCGCCACTCCCATCAGACAACAATGCTGGGACAATGGTAGTGCTCCACCAGGGCCGGTGTAAGTCTGTCAGCGAGCGATAGGGGGCATTGTTTTAATCACACTTGCAGGCCATGTTGTCGATGCTCACTGCATCGATCACGGAGGTGATTCTCTCCTTCAGGAGTTATACTTATGACTGAATTGTATTGCAGCTTCTGCGAAGAAATACTACACGGTAAATGATGTCTTATTCAATCCATTGAAGTATGGTTGGGCCCTGCGTTTATTGTGCTTGATGAGTTAATAGCCATTGTAGCCCCGAACAATTTCTATCGACTGGGAATGATTGTCAGGTGCAGCTTTGGCAGCTGCCTAAGGTTGATGAAATGGAAATGAGTGAATCCATCACCAGCTCACCCTGGATGATGAATTCCAGTGAGTTAACTGTTGCTACCTTTGTACTCACTGATGTCCTGTTTCATAGTGAGGCTCGGAGATGTCGCCCAGGACTTGGTGCACTCGTCCGACGGTGCGAATATTGCCGTGTCTTGTCGAGATGGGTTCGTATCTCATCCGAATTATCAATTTGGTCGGAGTTGACTTGATCACTCAGAACTGTCTCTGTCTTCAAGACGATAAATTTATTCACTTCGTCAACGTGGTCCAGAACTACACCTCCGCCTGATCCGGAGACAAAACTTCACGTTGCCCCTCCTGACGCTGACCATGCCGCGGGTACTGTACTTTGGGGCCATGGTCCGACCGAACGCTTTATGTACACATCCTCAGAAGCTCACGATCCTGATGGGGAGGGCAAGGACGAAGGTTTCCACCGTGCACATGATATATCACGAGGTCGAGTGCTATTTCCTTTCAGTGCTAATGAGTCAGGTGATGCAGGCGCAGTCAGTCCAGATGGTGAGCGTGTGTGTTTGTCCGTGACCCGACTGGTATAATCTTGTGCAGGGAGCACTTATGTCTTGATCACATGCGGTGAGAATAATCAGCATCCTATAAGGTTGTACGATGTTGCCCGCAAGTCGGGACATGCTGTCGCCGAAACAATGCTCGAACCATCAGCCTCACAGGTCGCTACATTCGAAGCCACAACAGCCACTTTCTCTTCCGAAGGTCGACTCCTGGCTGTGGCACGCTCAGATAATGCCGTACACATGTACGATATTCGCGCGCTAACCAAAGGTCCCCTCGCCACGTTCAAACACGAAGAGTTGGATGCAGTAGGTTCAGCCGGGTATGGTGCTATTCATGCATGCTGGGTCGAGGGGCGGGATCGGCGGCGAGTTGGCGTTGTCAGTGGGGGCAACGACGGGTGCGTGCGAGTATGGGATCCGTTGATTGCCTCGTCGGACAAGTCCCAAGGTAAAGTGCTGGCTCGCACGGAGTTTGACGTCGCATACTTTGCCATGGGTGATATGTGGACGGGAGAAAAGCCACTCGTTCTGTGAGTATCATCATGCTACTCTGCTTTTTATATAAGCACTGATCGGATTGAAGTGGCCATTGTGGTGGAGGCCTTTATGTTTATGACCACTTAGATGGTGACGGCCTACCGATATGTTGAGCCATTGATATTCAGTAGTAAAGCACCTTGGTCTGCCACATCACACACCGGATGTGTATACTTACATCATTGGATGGGGAAACTGTTTGATTCTACTACGGTACCACTGGTCAATTAGATATTCACAAGGCCAGATCTATCCCACCACATTTGTTACTCGATCTGAAGTTTATGCATTCACGCATTGAGTTCGCCCATCGAAACGACTGTACGATCATAGTGAGTCCCTAATCTCCCCTAGACAGTCAACAGACGATTGAAGAGCCTACACGGTGAGTAATTCTTGTCTATATATTTCGGAACGTCAATTTCTGATACTTATCAGGCTTTGATTATAGGCTCAGCCGTTATTACTCGAGTGGCGAGTTCCTATCAAAAAATTAGCACTTGGCCAGCCAGGTAAGTTGGCATGTTTCACTTCACCTCGCTGTAGCTCGCGGGCAAAGGTCGTAGGAGGTTTGATATAGACCTAAAGTACCGAGAGTTGGTGTTCGGAAATTTGTGGTACTGTACCCCCACTTGAGCGGCGGATGCTGAAAAGTCTGATCATACTTTTGATGTCGCCAAGGCCCAAAACTTGACTGACGACTCCGTCCCGCAGGCCTTTCATTGCGACGTTATCACCTCCCCAGGTCGATGTATGCATCCCTCGCTCGCACAGCAATCATCCAGCTCTTGTATCTGACCTTTCACCGAAGATTCTCGCCAGTCTTCAGACACTTCATAGAAGAGTGGCAGAGTCACCCGGCCAAAAGTGCCCCTGGGCCCTACTTGTGTGGTATTCACACATCTGCAGGCACCGGCGCCAAGTCGCCCTTGAGAGCCCGACTCTTTGGACATACATCATTTATGACCCTCCTCATTGGCTAGGCGCTGGACTGGCGCGACCGACAATGTACCTGCCTCTGGCAGACGGAAGCTTGTGTGGCCTCAACCTAATGATGAATGCTACCTACGACAACGCCCGAAGGCTGTACTCCTACTGACTAAGCTGCGCAAAGGGTGGCAATCACCACCCCCCGCAGCGCTGGAGGGGTACCACTCCAGCGTCATGCTTGAGAGATCGAAGAGCGCATCGTTGTTCGCCGTGTGTGATGTGATGGTCTCGCTACGAGATTACTTGTACAATTCGAACATTTCACAGCTACCTCGAATCAGAGTCCTCCGACTTCACACTATCCATTCAGCAAATAAATATTGGTCAATTATAATATTGTTGAAGTTATCGATATGTTCGTCTGAGAATTGACCTCATCTTGCCGTTATTGTCGGCTAACTATCCTTGTTTAGATTATAAACCATGTCGTGTCGCTGCATACCGATTTATCTTGGATCCATTGTCATGGTGCATGCAGTACCACAGGTCTATCCTTGGAATGTTGAACTTGTTGTGTTTCAAATCCAAAAAGCCCGGAGGTCCCTTACCTTAGACTGGGCTTCCCTGGGCTGGGCTTCCTGGGCGTCGTCCCAAAGGATAGCGCTTCAAGTTGGTCTGTCAATGGATAAGGAATCCGTCGGAAGTACTAGTCATCGATGTCATGACTCATGCACATGACGCATTCAGCACGCCAGTCCGTGACGTTAGCTGCCAGTGTGTGTGATTGTGTATGCCTAGTAGTATGCATAGTACCTGATCGCATGATTGCGAGAACAAACGTCAACACAGGGTGGATATATAACAGTGTCAGATGCCCTCTCATCAACACCCTTCCTTGTTGTGCTCTATCTCATCGTAATGCGTAATGGATTCCAGTGAAGTGCAGCAGACGTGAGTATGATTGCACGGATTTGATGTGTCTTGCTGGCCATTCAAGTTGAACTTGAGCATCCTCAGGTCGATGAACTTCAAGTTATATGCCGTTCTCGTGGCAGACAGTACTATGACTTTCTATCTTGTCCTCAAGACGATAACAAAATATTCTAGGTATTCTGATATACGACCATATGGCAACCATCACAGATGAAATCACTTTCATCTGGTGTCGTCCGAAAGCACTATCTGCAATATTATTTCTCGTCAATCGCTATGTCGCTCTGCTCGGCAATGTCTATATGTTATCTGTGTATCTTCTGCCCAGTTCAGATGAGGTTCTATGGTTTTATTATGCGCATACCCAGCTGGCAGGCTCATCTCTTATTTCTCCAGAGGTTTCAACTCTGGTTCTTCAATATGTGTTATTTTGCTCAACAAAATCCTAGCTGTCAGAAATATTTAATGTCAAGAGACCTACTCTTTTTTGTCCAACAAATCCTCGTTTGCCGTGAGTAGAATTTTATGGTGAGAATTATATACTTGTACTGACATTTCCAGTTATATTGACTATTCGCACTTATGCTCTCTACTGCCGTAGCAAACGCCTCCTTACTTGGATGATTATTGTTATTTTTGCTTTCGGGGGAGTGACTGTACGTGTTCGCATGAGCCTTTTCACCCTGGGAGTCTACTTATGGTTTATAGGCAGGAACGTTCGGACTACATTCAAGTATCGTCGTGCCAGGATTTACTCATTGCTATGAGTCATATTCAGAAGAGATGTGCGCCATCTTCCTCACTGTTCCGCGTGCTTGCTCAAAAGATGTTGCAGAGCCATCAGTTAGTAAATTCGGAGTCGAATTTGCATGGAACATAATGCTATGACTTAATTAAATTGCAGGTCCTGGGCTGGGATGGGTGACACTACTTGTCTATGAATTGCTCATTTTTGGCCTCACAATTTGCAGGATATGCAAAACTAGAGGACTGTCTCTAGCAACATCGAGGAGAAATATGCTTGATATCATATTTCAAGATGGTAATTTTCTCTGCATCAATATCGTAAACATTGATCTAAGTAAACGCAGGCGCAATGTATTTCGCGTGAGCTTGCTAGGGAAACAGTAATTCGAATAAATCTAATCCACATTCCTTCAGGGTGATGACATTGGCTAATCTACCCAACATTCTGACGTACTACGTGAGTCTACTGATGAAATGTTTGTCAAATCACACGCTCACTCTTTGGTTCAGTGTGGTTCAGTGAGCACACACCCGCTTCTTATGATCAGATTGACTAACTACTGCTGGCGACTGGCAAGAATACCACCAGAGGCAGTCTAGCTACATTTACTAGCTGGTAAGTATCTAGTACGGTAAACACAGATTGACTCTGACTATGCACTCTAGCATGTCCGTGACTCTCATCTCTCGGTTGATGCTTAACCTGCACAAATCTGTCGACGCAGGCATATTTACCACCCCCGTCCGAGATGATGACTACGACTCCACTGTCCTTACCACTAGGGTCAACGTGCAGTCCGCAATTCCCTCTTGCGATTGCTACTAGGGCCCGGAAGTAAGATGGAAACCGTCGAGAGTTTTATTAATATTTCAAAGTGTACAATGAATATGCAACACATATTTGAAGAACTTCTTAATACCAGCTCTGAGCGATCCTGAACTCTATGACCATAATGCCATTGTATCTACGAGATCATAAACCTGGGTGAGTGCTAGACCAGCCGTGGCTGGTGAATTATCACCAATCAATCGTCACCGACGTATCAAATATATATTATAAGGAACTTGCGCGAGAATCTTCAGCTCGTTCAAGGTTCGTTCCAAGGAACCACATAGTCAGATTGATGAAGATGATCCCGTGGCCGTCGTGAGCCGGTACCATTCTACTGTCGAGGTAGACAAATAAGAGACGAAAATCAGCACTGGCGTCCTGTCTTAGGACCAGAGGGACAGTGACACAGCCTGGATATGCGCAGTAGCATTCTCGATGCCCAGTGCGAATTGAGCATCTCACACAACGTGTTGGAGAGTGCGTGTGTGTGTCGAGGTGGTAGAGTCGACGGTCACAAAATCTTAGGGATGGGGCTCAAGGGGAGTCCACACATCGTCGAAGACTTGACACCATTGAAGCGCCATCGCGACAGAGGGAGCACCGTGTGACATTGGAGATGATAGTAATGATAGTGAGCCGACGGATATAGTTTTGGACCCCCGCCAACTCCGATCAGTAGTACCTCCTTAGTTTCGTTCAGGAACAATACCTACTGAATCCACTGACTCAGTCTGCAGACTGGCAGAACTCGTTATCCTATGGTTTGTCATTTACATTATGCGCTCTTGTTACATTGTTTGTCTATTGTGACTGCTGAAACTTTTGTTACCTTGGATCCACAGCCGCATTTTCGTTCCACTGGCCACGGTCTCAGCAAGGCCCGCTTTCTCATCTATTTAAGCAGTAGCTTGAATTCTGCAGATATAGTCTTGTAACTCTAACCTCTGCAAACGTTTGCGTTATCGCGTGCTACGGCCGAGGTAAGACATTTTACTGTTGCTTGACATCTGAATCTAACCTATGCTTATGCTGCGTAAGGCTATTTAACACAGGTAATATATCAGATGTCTGCATCATTGCGTGCTACGACTGAGAATATCTATTTGATATAGATCCGCTATTATTCTTATCCCTGAATCCTTGCTCGAATCCGTAGCAACACTGATCTGTGAAACCTATATTTCAAACCGTACTTGCAGTCAACCGAGGTTTCGCCTGCTCTCAACTGAAGACTCCGCCCCACACGTCCTTCATGTCAACCCTTTTATCTCCAATGGCCGATGTAACGTCTGGAAGCAGTGTTGTTATTAACCCGGGTTATAACTGAATAGGTTATAACTGGTGCGTCTTGATTTGAATTAACCGCGAAATAACTGGGGTTAATGGGGTTAAAAACAGTTAATTACTTCAAAGTGCTAGCTACTCTGAGTCGTCAATCACGATTGAACTCGATGGACTATTTCCCATGCCTGATGACTCCCCTGGGACATTCCTACTAGTACTTTTTTCATCCTCGGGCAGGCGTGACATTAGCTCGTAGAATAAAGCCTCACTCTCCATGTTTTTCACACCCTGGAACCAAAAATCGTCCCATCCAACCTCAACAGACCAATTGAACATGTCGCGGATGCGAAACATTCTCTTCTGACTGAAGAAGCAACGAATTTGTCGCTGCCTGCTACTTTCCGAATCCGAAATGCCTGAGATGTCATCCTCAACCTCAACTACTTGTCCTAACCCCGATATGTATTCCTTTTGCCATGATTTCGACCTTTCCGGCAATATATAAGGGACATTGTCGCATGCTGTTTGAGTCCGTTATACGGTATACATTAATCATTTATGTTACATGGCATCAATTGACAAAAACTCACCTTCCTGCGTCAAAATTGTGAAAGTTCTGACAGCCTGCAGTATTCCGTGTGCAACAGCCTGTTGATCAGCATTTGCGAGATCTTTAGCCTTCACATTGACACAATATTTACAGCGTGCTTGCCAGTGCACTTTGTCAACCTTCGCAGTCCCCTGATGAAAATGATCCCACATCCAGGACTTCTCCCTACCCATCGGAGCGGCTTGGAGAGGTAATACAGTCCCAGGACGCTGGCACAGAGAGAATCGGAGAGATTGATGATAACGATTAAAAGTTTGGTGACCCCCAATTAACCCAATTAACTCCTAGTACATTAACCCTACTAACCCTCCCAAAATCACAGATCCATATAACTAACCTCTTAACCGGTTATAACCGGGTTAAGTTATAACTGATTTAACGGGTTAGTAACAACACTGTCTGGAAGTGCGACCACTGACATCGACGAAGAACTTGCGGTGTTAGCCGAGTCCATGCGCGTCCTTCGCTCTCGCAGGAATAGACGAATCCCCATTTCTCGTCTTCCGACCGAGATTCTTGTGATGGTCTTCAAACACTTTGAAGAAGAGAAGCGTTTCGATGGATCTGCGAGCGATAATATCCCTGCTTGTCTAGCCTTAACACACGTCTGCAAAGACTGGCGCACAATCGCTTTCCAGTGCCCAGCTCTCTGGACTTTCATCCATTCATCCTCTCCTCGTTGGCTAGGCATCATGTTTGAGAGGTCGCAGAACCTTCCTTTGGTCGTCACGTACAAATCGCCGGTCTCGCTACAAGATTGCTTGGAGCTAGTCCTCTCACACCTACCTCGAATCAAAGTTCTCCGATTTCGCTCATTACAACCGGATTGCGATCGCATTATTCAATTGTTGTCATCGCAATCCGCACCATTGCTTGAAATATTCGATTTCCGCAAGCCGCTCGCGATGTGGCCCGAAACCTCACCCATATCCAACACCATATTTCAAGGACAAGCACCTCGACTTCGGAGTGTTGAACTGACGAGTTTTGACTTAAGCTGGTCAGCGCATATTTTCAGCGGGCTTCAAACTCTATCTGTCAGAGGAACAAATGAGAAATCCTTTCCTACCCTGCCGCAGCTCCTGTCAGCTTTGGGACGTATGCCTGCATTGGAGCACCTTACGCTTGAGCGGCTTCTCATAATTCCCGAGGAAACGAAGCTCCTCGAAAAAGTGCCACTCGCTCGGTTGAGAACTATCACGCTAGGTTCCTCCACGATCCGAACCGCCATCTCTCTCTTCGCGCAACTAACCTTTCCCGTCGACGCCAAGATCGCGCTAAGTCTCAGAGACGTTCAAGGCCTTCAAGACATTTCTGATCTGTTTTCGGCCATGGGCATGCATCCTGTTGGTTCTGGTTCCATCATTCGGTCCATGCGTGCCATCCGCCATACACGACGATCTTTTTGTGTCCAGTTTAGCACATCGACGGCGATGAATCCTACAGATTGCTGGAATCCTGATGACGATGACATACGACTGTCGCTTCAATTTATGTACCACTATAACATAAACATATCCCCGGACCCCGACCCGAGCATCATATTTGATATCCGTCGGATGGTCACGCAGGACAGGATTCAAACACTCTATTTGTCAAAGTTTGACTTTGCAGGAAAAGATTTTTGGGGCGCTGGGTCCGTCTGCCTCCCGGACCTCGAAGTTATGCATATGAAGGGCATCTGGGTTGAAGACTTGATCCATGCACTGGAGATCACCGGAGGGGATATTCCACATCCCTCCCTCAGGGTTCTAGAGCTCGAGGATGGCTGTTTTTTGATCGGATACGAAGGGGATCCTGAAGAGACGCTGCGGGATGTCATGAAAATGCGGGCCGAACGTGGTGCCGGCATGCACACGCTCCGACTCGTAGAGTGCAAAGAATTACCGGCTGATCGAGTGCAAGGCTTTAGGGAAGTGATTGCGACTGTGGATTGGGATGAATTTGTGGAGCCCGATGACGATGAAGATGAAGTAGGGTCTATCGACTCGGAGGAGGTGCGATTGTATAACGAAGCACAAGAGAATAGGGTCTGGTGGTTTGATGATCCAGACATGGACCGGAGTGAAATCTAGTGTTGTTACATATCGACGGCGCTAATTTTTGTTCTTAATGTCGATTGCTGTATCTTTTATGCATGACGGTCTCCCCTAGGCAGACCTAATATACCCGAAATATTGAAATTTTATGCCTTGTCTGATTAAGTACGCCCTTGGCTTCAACCTTCAACCCGTCGTACTTCAAGCTTCAGTGCGGGTTGTTCCGGCTGGCTGATGTCAATCTCGTAAATATTCAAAGTCGCTTCCTGTTCTATGCACCGAACAAAGTGCGTCTTGGATTTCAACATACGACAACAATATTCGAAGTAGCCCAATTGCTTCTATTACCATGGGACAATCAATCTCCTCGCCGCCTCCCGCAACTGTAATGCGCTCTTCTCCACCGTCATCGTGCCCAATGCATGACATGCCCAGCACTGGCTGTCCAATCCAGCACAACAACCCACCTGTTGCAAAATCCTCGGGTGGATGTCCCATCGATCATTCTTCACTTAATACGTTGAATCCCACAAACCAGATGCCCAATCTCCCTCAGACTCCCATATACCCGCAATCTGTAGCGCTACCGACTGAGCGTACTATGTCATCCATACCGCGTGTGGTGGATGCTGAAACGAGAACTGACACGCGCCAAACATGGGAATACCCATCCCCTCAGCAGTTCTATAATGCGCTGGTAAGAAAAGGTTTGGATACGCCCGCGGAGCATGTTGAGACAGTAGTGGAAATACACAATTTCTTGAATGAAAGAGCTTGGGGAGAAGTGTTGAAGTGGGAGAGGAAGGTTGCACAGTGCGTTGTATGCTTGTTATGCAGATTATGATTATTGATATTTTTTTACCTCTCAGGGAGGGTGACGAGGAGCCGCATCTTGCTCGCTTTAAAGGACGTCCGGGCGAGATGTCGCCAAAGGCAAGGTTCTGGATGCTGGCTGGCTGGCTGCTTCCTTCTAGATTCAAGTAGGTTTGTCCCTGCTATGTGTTTACTAAATGCTGACATCAGTATCACAGCACTGAACCTCCATTCGATCGCCATGATTGGATAGTACGTCGTCCGCGCGATGGAACGGAGGTTCGCTATGTCATCGACTACTACTCTGCACCGTCTACTCTTAACGGGGACCCCGGTTTTGCATTGGATGTCCGGCCTGCTCTCGACTCGTTTGAAAGCATCCAACAGCGTGTGGCAGTGGGTATGGACAGCGTATGGGAAGAGCTTCGCGAGAAAGGATGGGGAAAGAGTGAACGTGGGGGTACGCAACAGGCGTCGTAGGAGATTATGGGGCATGCGCGCTCTGCTTTCCCGATATCGGATCAGTCATCCGACTGTCAATATTTATGTTGCTTTGAGTAAGCTAATGAACACCTCTCGTATTATACACTAATAGACTCGCTGTCGGAAAGTTATGCCGTTGCTGACACAATGATTTCCGGCTCCTCGATGTTGGTCAAAGTAACGGAAGATGTGTATGCCATCTCTGATGAGCTGGGTGGCTATTTGATATGTTGACGTTGTCTCTCTTATCTCACAGGCTTCGGGTTAGAATTCAAGTTAAGACGCACTTGTAGGTGCGTCCAGTGGTGGGCGGCTGGGTGGTAACTTGCTCTCTGATGAAACGGTTGAACGCTGAGAGCAATCGATAATGAGGTGGTCTGGGTGGTTCCTCCTGTTGAAGGTACCACACGATGCATATAGATTGATTGACCATTAGGGATGCCAGAAGGTATTTCTCAACTGACCCATAGGCCACAATTTACATTGAGCCCCTCGGAGGGAATATGTTTGCAATCTCGATTGGTCTCGATCAAAATATGTGCAAACCGAAATGCCTGAGGAGGCTGGTGTTGCTATTTCGTTGAAGCCTGAGGTAACGTCTGTCAACTACTTTGTCCACTGGAGCTGACTCGGACTCGAATCATCATCAATATCGTCCACCGAACGATTTTCCCATCAAAGTCAATGATTGTTTAACGGAATTGTTTTGCTCTATGATGTCATGTGGAAGCAATTCCCTTAGAATTGTGACCACAGGTGAGACATCCGTAAGTGAGACATCCGCTGAATCCGAAAATGAATTTCCACTCAATGGCCCACCTCAGGTATAATCAAATCCACTCCTCATTCTATTCAATCCACAACCCACCAGGTCCACCTTACGTTTGTGTCCACACAATATTTCGCCATAAAAGCTGGACCAATGCCGGGTCCAAATTTCTCTCCCATCGAAAGCATCTCTATCATCCACCACCTTGAGCTCTCATTTATCTCAAATTATTCTCTGCCATGTTCTTCAAGAAGAAACCATCCAGCGCAGAGAAAATTCTCCGTCGTGTGCCAACCCCATACACCCCATACACCTCCCCCATCTCCAAATCGACTACTCAGATATCTGGACTCAATGCCTCGCGCATCACGGACCTTTCGACCAACCCTACCGATGACTTATCTCATCCTTCTGCTATCTCTTTGACGACTCAGCGCTCTTCTCGGTCCAAGCACTCTTCAACCATGCGTAAGAAAAACAAAAAGCGACGCTCTCAGAAGCCCCTTGCAAACCTCAATAGTTCGAACCCAAAGGAACCGTGGCTCGACCTTTCCTTCTTGAACCGTCAGTGTACGCAGGAAGACTATCTCTGCAATTACTGGCGCTACATGGTAGCGGACGAGCAAAGCATTCACCTCGATCACTTCTTGAATGTGATCGATGCCCACGAGTGCGAATTATGGCAAGGCTTTTCCGATGACTACGTGCCTTCCTGGGCGAAATTCCTGGAAGTTCGTCAGGGTTGGGAAGGCAACGATGAGCGGAAGTGGCAGGCCGGCGGCTGGATTCGCGGGAATAGTGGAATAGAATGGCGCCCAGGTCATGTTATGTTGAGGGTACCCAACAATGATTGGATAGGCGGCAGTCACGAAGACCTGGACGATTGCTCCAACGCGAGCTCAAGGAAGTGGATGGATGATGAAGTTTTCGTTCCTACCGAGGACCATGAAGATTACGGAGCCAGTGGCGAGTTATCCCCGGCGCAAGGAAGGCAGTTATGTCGTGAGCAAGATTCCAAGCCACGTCAGGAAGTCGAGAGGACCGTCGAGCCGAGCCTCATCGTCCCCCATGTCACTTCAGCAAGCTTCATTTTGGATATCCCACCAGCCCATACCATCACTCCAAATGACGTCCGTATTGTCCCACCCGCTCCCTCGTCCCACACTCCACCAGATCACCCAGTGAGTATTGTCGCGGAAGCAGATTTATTCGTATCTTATCATCTTCTACAGCCACCGCAGTCGAAACATGACTCGCATACCTCCAAGGTATCCAGAGTATCGTATGCTCCTCTAGCAACACCCCACCGCACTCGCCAATTCTCTCATCGCCCTCGGCGTGTCTTCACACCTGCCCCTACCCCAGTCCCCAGCGAGCATGCTGACGATGAAGTCACTCAGAATCATGGGGAAATTGAGAAACTACTTGGATTTCTCAAGGTAAGGAACATTGCTTTCCCGTTGTGGATCATCATTAACACATCCCCACTATCTAGATGAATGCAGAGCAAAAGGTAGCCGAGATCCATCGGTTGGTCGGATCTATGAGCCGAGGACTCGGAACGCAGTCGTAGCTGGACTCGACTGTTATAAACTCTTCCATTGACTTACTTCGTACCAAACTTCTACTTACGATGAAACAACAACTCGAAACACAGTCGTGGCGGGACTCGACTGTTATTTTATAACTCTTCCATTTACTTACTTCGTACCAAACTTCTACTTGCGATGAAACAACTCGGAACACAGTCGTAGCGGCACTCGACTGTCATTTTATAACTCTTCCATTTACTTTACTTCGTGTTGATCGTTACCAGACTGCTAACAATGAAACAAAATTTTGGTTAATAATTTGCAGCTCGAAGGCAACGACACAGTTAGGAGGAATGCTGCTGGTTGAATGATAGAGTAAGAGTCTAGGATTCGGGGTCCAAGAACACTAAGGTGTCTAGACCGCGTAGTAGTATGGTCACGGTAGCTCGTATTTAATGTAAGTATTACTTCGGATAAACTCTAAGTAAGGCACTGAAGAGACAGGGAGAATGGTATAAACTCGGGTTTGATATAACTACGGTACGGATAGACGGGATGTGTCAACGGAAGGACAAGGGAACGATAACGACAAGGACAGATTTCAAGATATGTGGAAACGGTATAAAGGAGTGTGATATATAGTAAATGAAATGTCGATACCAAGCGAGAATATTACCTGCAGTTGCTTGCAGGAGATCTTGCTGCATGTGCTTGGCACGATAGGTCATCACGTGACCGCATTTTATTTTTATTTTGACCAGTTCAATAGTCAGGATCCCGAATTCATTGGTAAGCAGCGCGCTCGCTGCTTGCGCACAGATCAGGTGTAGCATGTTCCTCTCTGCCCCGTTATTCTTCACTCAGCCGTGCTCTGTCACGATCTAAAACACTTTGGCATCTCGTTCCTTTCATTCATCACCACGAAGACATGCCGAGCTCCCGAAATCGCCCTCTAAATCATTTGCATTTGTCGATATCTGTCCTCACTCGTGTCAATGGTCCATCGTGCATCATGTTCCGTCTCCTTTCCTCTCCTCAAGGCCTGATGATTCACAACTGATCTGCCAAATGAACAAGGTTTTGCATTCTTCGAATGGATGTCTTTGTTACCGACAATTGTCATTCAAACCTTGAACTGCATGGAGTTAGGAGAATGCTATCTAGATGTACAGAAAGCCTCGGTTGGCTCGAATCCCAGTACATCGGCCATGATTCCAAACTTCCCTTACGACTAATTTCCAGATATTCCTCAACCCACCATGCCTGCTGGCGAAGCAGTAACGTCGATGCTCGTATTCTTCTCATGCTCAACATTGTTACTCCCGATGGATACAGCGACTTGTCTGAGGACATGGGAATATCGAAGGCCTGTGCATTCTTCGGTCAAGAAGACACATCGAAGTGGGCTCCTGGAGAGAGTCAGCAGACTGCCATTGAAGCTCAGCGCGCAGATAAAGCAGCGGATGTTGGCTGTGTGTATGTCATGTATGTTGATACCGAAGTGCACAGACCAGTCTCGAGGCGCTTTCTGGGCGATCCATAGTCGGACGCTCCATTCTCGCTACAGTTTTGGACGAGGCCAATCAAACGACGCCCCACTTAACTTGATCTTTGCCTCTCTGCCAGATGCTCCTCCGCTCTCCACCTCTTGATTGATCACTCCTTTTGGGAGGTTAGGAGTGGTTATCTAGTTGCTCAGTTGTGTGTACGTCCTGTACCGTTTCTGATGTTGTTCCGTACAGATGCTTTGATTTCATGCAAATGAAGTGCCATGATAATCGCTCAAGGGTTTCACAGTGTCGTCGTTATAGAGAGTTTGTTGCTTGTTGGTCTCTTCATTCCGTTTGTCCAGCTCCCCTGAGTTTCCATCTTTCACTCAGGCCTTCAGGATGGGTTCAAGGGCTTGCCTGTGATATGTGAGCGAATGACATGCGCTGCCACCCTCAGATGTCAAGTCTTGTCTCCCGTCCAAGAAGGCCATCACTCCACTATTGCGCTACTTAAATCACTTTCGGTGATGTTCCTCCTGATATTCACAACGGTAGCAGAGAGTTGCGAGTTTGTATCATGCAGCTAGTAACCCGCAATGCATGGTCGAAAGGGGCTCGTGTATCCCACCTCACTCGTAGTCGACGGGAGGTCTGTGCCAGGTCACAACACGCCGCAATCTAGCAGAAGTAGAAAACCTTATTGATTGCAAGTACTGGGGGGACAGTACCCGGGAATGGCCATCGTAGGGACCTAGGAACTCATGCATCATGACTCACTTGTCGCACACGCCCTGACCATCACCACCGCCATCACCTATCCTCGCCGTCTTGTCACTTCACTCCACCTCTCTCCATCATTCCCTTCGTACACGGAGGTTCGGGGGACTGTTATTATATGATAGCGGCCTTCCGAAACCACGTCTACCAGGGTTCCGCGTGGCCTACTGTATAGTGCAGACTTGTGTGCCAAAATCGGCAGGATCGGCATACAGGCGGAGGGAAGCCCCACTCTGTGGCAATTACGGTGAATAGGACACCGATGTATGCACTCTGCTTTAATTCGGTCGACACACGGGGGAACTTCAGATGCTGGAACTATGTACGCGAGATTATATACTGGTTGATTTTCCGAACACGTGACGAGCGCGTCGCGATCGATTCTGTTTATCGCTCGTACACAGACCTTGATTTTCTAGGCAACTTCCAGGAGTATAAATATGGGGTGCCCTCGCAAATATTTCCCTCCCTCAGTTTACCACCAGCATATTCTTACGATCTTCACCTCTCTCAATCAGCGTTCATTACCATGACTCTCTCTACTGCCATGACCATTACTTCCCGCGTCGCCGTCACTGGCTTCCTTACGGTCTCTTGCTTCAAACGGGCTGTCGTCGACAACACCGCTCAGGTCCTGTCCAAAGCAGAGAAGGCTTCCGCTGGCCTCGCTGTATACTCTGTCTGCTTGTCGACGATCACCCTGGTTCTCGCCGCCGACAAAGCTGCACAGAGGATCCTCAGCAACGAGCCCAAGCATTTGCCCGCCCTTCCCAAGGACGCCGACGCCGACTCTAATCCTCCATCCGCTAATGACCCCACCACCACCGTTACGCCTCAGCCTGTTGAACCTCATTTGCAGCCATTTCCGTCTCCATTTCCATTGCGTTTAATCGAATCGACGGAAACAATATCCGCTCCAATTTATACTTGCACCCCTGATGACAACACCACCACCGCTACGCCCAAGCCTGTCGAACGGTATCATTTGCAGCCATCTCCGACTTCATCTATATTGCGTTTAATCGAATCGACGGAAACAATATCCGCTCCAATTTATACTTGCACCCCTGATAACAACACCACCATCGCTACGCCTAAGCCTGTCGAACCGTATCATTTACAGCCATCTCCGACTTCATCTCCATCGCGTTTAATCGAATCAACGAAAACAACGTCCGCCCCAATCACGTGTTCTAATACTTGCATCACTCTCACTTCGCCGGACCTCTACTGCAAACGCCTGTCTATCGATTCCACTGCCACTACTCTTGTACCCCATGACGATGACTCGGTTACTGATGTCTTCTCGGACGATGCCTCGGACGCCAACGACTGTAAATCGTTTAGTGATGAAAGCACCGTTCACGAGGTAAGACGGAGCGCATCCTCAGTTTTCACATTACCTGACGTTTGAGTCTCTAGGACGATTTTTCTGAATCACAGCCTCGGAAGGAACATGCACTAGAACCCACGTTTGACATTCTAATTGCAAAAATGACAGCTCTCACTCTCGATGACCCGCCTCATACTTCCAAGCTCCGACCACTCATTCTAGTCAACAACCGCCACAATACATCTACTACCATTCCTTGTCCTCTGCTCCCTGAACCCGCCTACTCTATGGACGCAGTGACCCGACGTATGAAGCCGCTCTCTCTTTCCGATAGTCCATCTACCGATCCTGGCGCTGCTCTTCCTGAACCCGGCTGCCCCATCGAAGCGCTGACTCGAAATATGGAAACGCTCTCTATCGGCGATCGCCCTGCTTCCACCTTGAAGCTGAAGCCTCTGCTCCTGGTTACGAAGCGCGACACCAGACACTTCAAGCTGCCTCCTCTCGCAACCCCTCTGCTTCGACAGCCTAGATCCCAAACAGCAACGCGGAGTCAGATGTATTGGCCTTTTTCACTGAACCCTACGATCTGGGCTCACCCACAGCCCAAGTGATTCAAGGCCGCCTTCGCGCTAACACACAGCTACGCACAGCATATGTCCGATGTCAGGTCCCCTACGACCAATCCGGACGACGGCCTCCTTCTGTCCCCTACGACCCGGAACTTCACCCCCCAAGAAGTCGAAGGCCACTTCCAGTCTACGCATACTACACCACGTCGCGTGTCTTCGACACCAGAGGTCCCCTACGACCCAATCTCGACGACAAACTAATTGGTCTTCACTACCCTACTAGACGACATTCTACTATGGCCACCGTCACTGTTACGCACACATCTATCAGATTTACTACCTCCTCGATCCGTAATTATTTTGACTGGAACGAGACACACATTGGAGTCACACACTCTCATCACGGATTCATCCCTGGCACGTACATTTATTCCTCTCCTCTCATTCTCTCCATCATCATCTTCGATTTGTTGATTTTCCACCCTTATTGGTGCGGCACTCAGTCTGAGTCTAGCACGTATCTTCCGTTCTTCCATCTCCTTCCCTACGTATACGTAGAGTCTGGTTCTATTGTATTCTAGTTTCGTTGTAAACTCCTCGCGATGTATCTTTATTTCATTGATCTTGTTACACATATTTCTGCGCATGTACGGTTGATGTACGCTTCGAATGTAATTTTCTTCCGCAAGTATGTTCCGAGAGCAGGACTTTTGTGACGTTTTAGCTGCATAGATACCCTTGCAACTCAACAAGGCCGGGCTGTCGAGCGTACTGGAGAATTTATGTCGTTGTGACAGCATGATGACGATGACATCTTCCTGATACATCATGCCGCGCAAAAAGAGATCACGTAGAACAACCGCCCAGGACGCACATATCAGTCAATGCACAATCCCCTTCGGCGGGGTTAGTATATGTGTAGGTTGGCCAGCTTTTAAGTTACGATCGAGGCTCGCGTCTGCTCCAGCTAGAAGTATTCAGCATGAAAGTCTTGCAGACAAAATATGATGCTAATTTCTAATCCATGTATTAGTATGATCCCTAAATGCCTATAATAAATCCATGCAATCGTCTCCAGTTGTAAGTAGTCGTTGCGGTTGACCGTCAATGCATGCATGATACCGTCTTTGAAATTAAAGTTTGCTGCAGGATATGCCATCACGTGACCACGTGATTTTTAACAATTTCTTTGAGACTGTCCTGAGAGTTCTTTAGTCGCTGAAAGTGATGCTTCCCCGTCATCTCCGTAGCTTCGTTGCAGGTCAGCGTGCGCGCTCGTTGCTTGTGCATAGATCAGATGTAGCGTCCTCCTCGCTGTCTCGTTATTCTCCAGTCAGCAATCCTCTGTCGCGACCTACAAACACTTCCGCATCTCGTTCCTTCCATTCCTCATCACGAAGATATGACGAACTCCCGAAATCACCATTTCAAACATTTGTTGATGTCCTTCGTGATGAACTCCGGAAGAACAGGGAGCTCCAAGAAAACGTCAAACAACTTCAGGGTGACGTTGACAAGCTTCAGGATTCGGAGGCCATGAAACGGGCGAGGGAAGTGTATGAGCGTGCAAGAGTCTGTATTTTTAATTCCTCTCATATCTGGGTCAAATCTAACATCCGATTCCGCACATAGTTGACGTCCAGCATAAAAGAGAACCCTCGTTTGAGGGCAGCAGCGGAGGAGCTGAAGAAGACGGGTGTCAAGGTCGGAGATGCGGTATCAGAGGCTTTGAAGACGATGGAAGAGAGCGAAATTATGCGCGCAGTGCGTGTGGCTTACTTCTAACTATCTGGTGTCAAGAACTAAATTTCGGTAGATTTCGCGAGCAACAACGTCCCTCTCTAGTACCATTGCCACTACAACCGAGCCCATCCGTCAGACGGCTGCTTACAAAACTCTTGCAGAAACTCTCGTTGATGCCCTGGATGACTCTGGGTCTGCAAAGCACGCTGGATTCGAAGACAAGGAAGCTCGGAGACGACGCAGGCAAAAACGTCTTGAGAAGGCGGGCTTAAGTGGACGTCGAATAATGGAGGAGAACCTGGAGTGCGTTGTTTGGAAGTGAAATATGTGTGCTGGTAATAACAAGCATGACGTCTACAGAGCAGGCCAAGCACTGGTCTCCGTTAAAACCTCACCCCGTGCTGAGGCCTGGGAGAACTTCAAATCCACGAATCCTGTGATGCAACGTTTATCTTCGCTACATGCCGCGTACGAAGAGTCGGAGTCTCCCCTCGTTACACCGCTTCGCGCTGTGACCAGTACGATTGGGTCTTGGTTCGAGGAGAACGAAACAGCACAGGTGACACGGATGATCCGTGCATTGGATCCGAACTTTTCGAGGGAAGCGTTCGAGAAGGAACTGAGAGAATACATTATTCCTGAAGTCGTAGATGCGTACTTGAGTGCAGATAGGGAGTCGCTTGTTAGGTGGTGCAGTGAAGCGGTGAGTGTATACGATCGGAATCGTATTTCGAAGGCTAAACAAACTCCCTTTTTAGACCTACAATGTTCTTTGGGCGACCATGGAACAATATCTCCGCCAGGGCCTCGTGAGTGATAGCAAAGTGCTTGATATCCGGTCGGTAGATGTAAGTATTATTATTTCCCGTCCATGCAGACATGAAATACTGAATATTTCCAGGTCTCCGATGGAAAGATTCTCGACTCCTCTATCCCTGTCTTTGTTGTGACGTTCTCGACACAAGAGGTTCTCCTCTTCCGCAATGCAGCCACGCGTGAAATCGTTGTCGGCGCTGAAAACCGAGTGGAACAGTGTGTATATGCCGCAGTGATAACGCGCGTTCGCGAGGAGTTAGCGGACGAGGTTACAGGAGGGTGGAAGGTCGTCGAGGTGGGTTTTGTCTCCTTCATGTGCTGCTCATATTAACATTCTTCTGTGCAGATGGCACGCAGATCCTCCAGGGCGTATCTATAGTCATGTTGATTGGATACCGCGCACTAACACACTACACATTTATCACTGCTTTGCATAATCATTAACCACCACTCATCTCGTCATAGCAGTATCTTATTACATTGACTATATGAATCGCTTTGTCACAACTTAAGTAGTCAGGCTGAACTTTCGAGTGATTCACGTGACATGGCGTTATATTGGGGGCACTTACTGCAAATTGGCTCGGCAAGTGATGTCGCGCTCATCGTCCAAGTCACAATCTGCACATACAGGACCTTCGCAGTCAGCACGGATTCGTATTGCAAACGAAAGTGCTACACCAGACAGAGACGTCGGACCCGTTCCCTCTTCCTTGTCTTTACTAACAGCACGCCGTCCGTCATGGGCTCCTCCACTTTATGATCATACGCAAGAAATGTCCGCTGGGCTTGGTTCCTATCGTGATGTACTATCATTTGGTACGACACAGACAGCGCATCCATCTTCTTCGCCCGAAGATGGTGACAACTTTCGGAGAAATCTTCAGATAGACATGAAGGAACTTGTCGGGGATGCAGTCGGAAACGTGCGTTTCCTTCGTGTCATCAAAAAGGCAGTCTCTTGACCAAAGTATACAGATGAGTATCAGCCCTGCGAGCAGAGACATCGTCCTTGCAGCGTGAGTCAGCATATGTCGTGCCGAATGATTCTCAATAGTGCGAAGTCGCCGAGGTTTGTTTATTATTGACCTCGACGCACCCCTCGAGGTGCCGCGTTTCCTTCCTCAAGGCGGAACGTGGGACGTCGCAGACGTGCAATGGAACCCGCACCGTGCTCGCGCAGAGTACATTGTATCTACCTCGTCTGAGAAACTGTGAGCTCCCATCTATACTGTTGTAACTGGAGCCTCTGACTAACAGAAAACTTGAAGCCTTATATGGAACCTTATGATGGTCGGAAAGACGTCCATCGAACATATACTTCACTCTCATTATCGTGCCATCACTGACATTAACTGGCATACCAAGGAGCCCGACATCGTAGCTAGTGTCGGCATTGATGCTTGGGTGTGGTCTTGGGATCTAAGGGAGCCGAGGAAACCTGTGCTAGGTACGTTTTTTAACCATCATCATCAAATGTAGTTTGAATTATCACAGGACTCTGCGCGTTCAATGGCAAGTGTTTTCGAGACTGTACTCGCACGTTGAAATGTGATGTTTTGCACAGCTGGAGGTACGCAGGTGAAATGGAACCGACAGGATTCCAATGTTTTGGCATCCTCACATATGAATGAAGTTCTAATATGGGACCGCCGGGTATGTCGCCTTCGCTATATTATCTTCTGGGGTCTATAGCTCCTGGAGTCATTTGCTAATCAACTTAATAGAAAGGTTCGCTTCCTACTGCGCGAATAAAGGCGCATACTGCGAAGATTTATGGTATAGACTGGGCGCATGAGCGGATACACGACCTCGTTACTTGCTCTCTTGACAAAACAATCAAAGTGTGGGACGCGCATGATGCTCCTTCTTTCTCCTTCAATCAGTCCTCGCAAGCCGAAATTGAACCACGCTCAAAAATTTCAACGCACTACCCCGTCTGGCGCGCTCGAAACCTTCCTTTCGGACACGGCGTATTGAGCTTACCACAGCGCGGGGATACGACCCTTGAAATGTACACACTGGAGGGGAGTGAGATTGGAACGCCGGTAGAGGTGTTTGAAGGACATGCAGATGTAGTGAAAGAATTTGTGTGGAGGAAGGGAGGACTAGGTGAGCGCACACACTTCAGACGTCGATCATCGTGTAATTTGGTGCCAACAGAGGGAGGAGACTACCACCTTATTACATGGTCCAAGGACAGAACTCTCAGATTTTGGCCAGTTGATACTGAAATTATGGAGGTGCTCAATTATCTGCTATGTACCAGTGTGTTCGGTGCATAACATCTTCTATTTCACAGAAAGTCGGTCATACGGCTACCACTCAAGCACCTTCGCACCCTCAATTGCAACGTTCACGTTTCTTCACGGACAAGTCTTTCCGTCACCCGCCAGCAGCAACTGATGCGCACCTGTCACATCTATCAGCACCCATTGGGCATCGTGGAATCCTGGCTGAAGTGAGAGCGAGTACGCTTCCTTCTCGAGTACCAACAACTACAATTACTAGCGCCAGTGTTCTTGCGAGCAGGGACAAGGATCATAATCCCGTACTCCAACCACACCATGGATCTGCAGCACGGGGCCGCGGTGCACTGCTTCTGGACGCTCC